GACTATACATACAAAATGCTACACAATAATGATGGCTTATGTCCACGTTTTTATGGCTTACCTTAAATTCATAAACCGGGAATTCCATTGAGACCTATCGTCTCTTTTGTTAATTCTCCAACTTATGCAATTTCTGGTTATCTTATCTGCGAGAATTTGTCGCCTGTTGTTGGGAACATTTATTCCACTGTCAAAAGAATTTGCGGATTTCAAAAGAGATAAAACTCCCAACGCCTCTGAAGAATTGGTATTTTTCGACGTTATTTCACTCTTCCCTAAAATCTTAGTTGATCTTGCCGTTAAAGTTGCGGGGAGAAACTCAGAGAAGACACTTCCCTAGGACAAAGAACTTCTTCGCCTGTGGAGGATATTATTCATATGCTGTCTTTTTGCCTCAAAAACCCACAATTTGTATACAAGGGCACCTACTATCAATAGGTTTTTGGTACGGCTATGGGTTCACCCGTCTCTGTTGTTAGTGTCAATATGGTTATGGAAGACGTGGAACAAAGGGCCTTAGCCACTTCACCGGTTAAACCCTTTTTCTAAAGACGATATGTCGTTGATGCTATTTCCGCGGTTTCCGGAAATGAAGCGGAACGCTTCCTATCGCATTTGAATTCAGCGGAGCCGTCTATCCAATTATCCAATTCACTTTTAAGCGTCAAAAGGATAAACATTTGCCCTTTCTTGACTTAAATATGTGCAGAGTGGAAAAGGGGAATTTAGAGACGAATGTCTGTCGTAAACCTACCCACACCGACAAATACCTCGCTTTCGACTCTCACCACACTCTATTTTACCACAAAAATTATGTAGCTAAAACTTTACTCAGGAGGGCTGAATATCTATCATCTTCACTTAATTCGAAGGCTGAGGAAATAAATGTGTCCCTGATATCCTAAAGGTAAATGGCCATACCGAAACTTTTCTCCGTAACTGCCAAAAACCAGTTACAACTAGTAACGCTCCTGATGAGAAGGAACCTGCGACTGGTTTTGTTGCTATTGCTTACATTCAGGGTAATGGAACCCATCAAGAGAATTTTGAATAGCAACAACATTAAAGCTGCTCAAAGACCTTTTCAAACATTAGGGCATATTTTTGCCAAACTTAAGGATCCTGTCACGAAAGAACAACGAACGCTATTTATTCTATTCCATGCAATGACTTTGATCACGAGTATATCGGACAAACCAAACTTCAGTTTGGTACACATTTGAAAGAGCATCAGGAAGCGGTCTTCCTTTGCAATAAAGAAAGTTCAGCTTTTTCGGAGCACACGTGCCTAACCAACTGTATAGTGGGATAAGTCTAAAATTATCACCACTGATCGTCGTTACCACCAGCGCCTTTGTTTGGAAGTCTGGCATTTCGACTCCGCTCACGCCCCTATAAATCGTGATGATGAATTGAGATTTTCAAATTCAAAAAGGAAAAGAGGCACACCACTTCTCAATTTATGTAGACGACGATTAGGTGCCATGGAAACTCAAAAGAAAAGTGTCAATGATTACCGATGTGCAAATTGTCACAATGTTTAACAAACCCAGTGATGTCAGTATGAAAGAGATCTTCGCAGATCAACCCGGTGATGCAGAAGAGTCACATGAAAAATACGTGATTCCGTCCAAAAATTTATTTCTAAAAAAAAGGTAAACAGAACGATCAAACAGAAAAAATATGGTCCCTTTGTGATTGATTTGCCAAAAATGAGCACGAGCAAAATGTACAAATTCAATTCATGTTATACACGTTATTGAAACAAAATTTCACATTTTTTAGCTGATGAGTACATTGACAGGATAGGCAGCAGAATCGTCCCATACAAGGAAAAACACTTCGACAACCAACACATGGGTTCTCTCAAATTAGAATCCTCTCTTTTGAGCAAGTCGCAAGGAAAAAATGAAAATGCACGCTGAAACATGTCAAAAACATTATTTGCGTTGTGACTGGTTAAAATTATTTTACGCGACTGTGCCAAATTGAATACAGCCTTACATACTTCTTATCATTATTTGCGTTATGACTGGTGCAAATTATGCTCGTTTTTATGCCATTGTGCCAAAGCAACCCCCACCAAATTTTGATCTTTCTTGGAGGGATTGCGACATTTGTTCACTTTTTGATTGTGCAAAACTACCCGTAAAATGTACTTTTTGAGGTTCGACTCGTGTTACTTTTGCTTTTGAAAAAATGGTGGAATTTTTTAGCATGACGGCACTAGTAGTTATATGTGTATGTATTATTTTCCACACTCAATTATTCCTAATCCAAGAGACCTTAGTTACCACAACGACAATTCGAACTGAGACTATAGCCTGGTTTCTTAGTCAGTTCTCATCACGGAAAATTTTACCCACCTGTTTCTGTAATTCTAATGAAACATTATCTATATTTTTGTATATTCTCTCGGTAGGTGGTGTGAACAATGTATTATGGAAATTTGCATTCAGCCTCAATACAAGTAAGAAAAGAAATTATTGATTAGTCTTGTCAACTGCTAACCTGGTTATTACCTTTTCTCTTCTTTCATGGGCGAGGTTCCATGGAAATCTTGAGTTGAAAATGACAGATGAAAATGAAAAACAAAAAAATTTTAAAAATAAGAAGGTCGTATATATAAGAAGGGAAATCACACCTGATGCTGGTTCATAGAATCATCAACTGCGCGCTCTCCTTTGTGTTAAATTCACAAGTCACATTTTAATTTTTGCTCATAACCATTACAATTTCCTCAAATGTGATTGATGCATCACCTACTTTAATTTTCACTAATTATTCTGCAGAATTGTAATCGGGCAATGTTACCTGACAGTTGGCTATAATTGGACAGTTAAAGAAGCCAATCATATTTTAAGTCCACCCAGTTAAATCCACCAATCACAGAATTGATTAAGTAACCATAGTAACATTCAACCACTCCCCAACAAAATTGGGGAGTTTGCAAAGCTGTAGGAATTTTTACTCTAAACAGTGTTTCTTGTGACTCACTTCCACGGTTTCTTGTTTTATTTCTTGGGAAATTGTAGTGGTTATGATTAAATGGTAACAGCTGGGCTTTTCGCTGTCCGATTCTGTCTATAATCATACTCGAAATTTAAAAATCGCACTTCCGCTGTATAGTCATCCAACTTTATCAATCGCTCGTATAATTACGGACAGAATTGGACTCAACTCAGTCCTATTGCCATTAAACTAGTCGCGCATCGTGTAAAAAACCGAGGTGAAAATGAATCATCATGGACGGCTGGCCGGATGAATAATGGCTGGCTGGAAGGCTGGCTGAATGATGGATGGCTGAATTTCTAGATAGCTGGAAGGTTGGAAGGCTGGATATCTGGATGGCTGGAAGCCGGAAGGCTGGAAGACTGGATATATGGATGGCTGGAGGCTGGAAGGCTGGATGGCTGGAACGTTGGAAGGGTAGATGGCTGGATGGCTGGCCGGCTAAATGATGGCTAGCTGGATAGTTGGCTGGCTGAATGATGGCTAGCTGGATGGCTGGAAGGCTGGATGGATGGCGAGATAGCCAAATAGGTGGGAGACTGGATGGATGGCTGCATGGATGGATGACTGGATCGCTGACTGACTGATTGACTGTTGATTGACTGATATGTTGATTGTTCAGAATTCTATGATGGACTGATTAATTGATCGATCGATTGATTGATTGATTGATTGATTGATTGAATGATCAATTAATTCGTTTTAATTTTCTTTTGCCCTGAATTATTGCAGTGTATCAGAGGGTTTCTTACCAAACATTTCATGCAGAAAATGTCTTTTACGAGGAGAAAACTGTACATAATCTTGGAAAAGCACGATACCAAATGGACCTTGTTAAATCGGAACTTTTCCCCATCACCAATGAATTTGCTGCTGCTGTCTGTAACTTACCACAAACATATGACCAGATGGCTTACCACAGATTTATAAAGGATTGGGGAACGGTTGGTTTCTGAATTAACTTTGTTACCTCATTAACTTTTAATTTGAAAAAGTTTGGCCAGGTTTTTACCATGGCCAGTGTGCATTGTGTCAATGAAGAATATTTGTTTGCAAAATTTGAGTTATTTATTTATATATATACATATAATTGTTACTAGAACTCTCAGGCCAACAAAAGTGCACTGCGCCAGGAGGATAAATAGAGATTCGCAGTCCAAACCTCACAGCAAACACAAGCGTAGAGAATTAAAAAAAAATGCGAGGATGGAGAACTTCTGACGTAAAAAAGATAAAAAATTTAATAAAAACGTTTTTACTGAATTTTTTATCTTTTTACGTCAGAAGTTGTCCATCCTCGCATTTTTTTAACTCTCTCCTTCTCTCTCTCTCTCTCTCTCTTAACTTCACAATTTTTTGTCACATTCTTTGCATGCATGTTATCCTTTTGTTTGGCTAGAAGGATAAATCCGTCTACAATAACAAAAATGTAACAATTAGGAAAGCAGTTTTCAATGTTCTACAGTTGACTAGAGATAATGTTTGCACTACAGTTATCTGGTTTTTTTTTTAATTTCATGTTTTTTGCCTTTTTAATTTACGTATTATAATTTTCGTTTTTTTCCACTAATAAAGGGGTTAAGTTTTCAAAGAGAGTAACATCAGCTTTCAAACTCTTTACGGAGGCCAATTCACATTATTAACTCACTTGATAATGCCAAATTACCTTCATTTTTCGCTGTTTGGTACTAACTTTCTAAGCGGCACTCCCCCCTTCCCCAATAGAGGATTCGTAAGAATCTTCGGTTTCTGTCAGTGAAAAGGTTTGGCGTTTCACACTACACATTCAACCAGGAAACTGATTAGTTGCAATAATGTGGATGTGTTGAGGTACATTTATGTTTCTGAATTTTTGGTTGAAATATACTCATGATAAACTCATCTCAATTTTTCATAAACTTTCAAATAAAGTTATGTGTATAGATAGTTATTGATTATTTGTTTAGATACCAAGAATACATTTTTCCTTAATACATGTCAAGTTGACCTTGTCCACATGATGTACATGCACTAGAACCCAGTTCTCTTGGTTATCAAATGTGGATTGTTTAACAGCCATACATGAAAACCCAATTTTTTCATAAAGGTACTTCTAATAGAGATGACAATTTTGATGATATTGGTAATAGGTTCAAGGTTTCCATCAAGACACTTTTAATTACATCAAAGCATGTTCCGTCCTAGAATTTAAATGAAGTAAACAGTACAGTAGTAATGTAACTGAGTCAATGAGATACTTTTCAATTTATCTATTGCAACCCGCCTGTAGAGTAATTTAAGCTAAACTACAGTCTGAAGAGCGTGTGTATCTTTTTGTATGAATTTTTTTATTCTCCTTACAGCATATTGTCAGCGAGGTGGAACTTGGAACCAAGAAGATTGAACGCTACAAGAGTTCGTATACTGATTTCCTCAAGTATGCGATGAAAAATGTGAGTTTCTGCGCTCACTGAAATTGATTTTTACCAAGCAACAGTATGAAATAGATTTTGTTGCTCGGCGTTCAACTGTTCTTGTTTAATTACCCTCAAGGCAAAGTCACATTTCATTTGGTTCCAACTCCTAGATGAGTGCCAACTTACCATTATGCTTCAAAGAGCCATTCTGATAACGAGAATAAATTAGCCAATAACCTGCAGGTTTTGGTCTATAGAAGCTCCTTGGAACATTTAACGTTGAGCTGTGCACCGATAACTCAACTAAAATTTGAAACATGAGTTACCATTCACTTCTTTGATTCCATGATGCCTTTTGACGACAATTTATATTAGCTGCGTAAAAAATACCCATGGTATGAACAATTACCGATAAATCGTTACAGACTCTAACGGAATCGAAAGAAAAACATGAAAACCGACTCCCGCGTGATAAAAATGTTATTGAAGCACTTTTTTTACGTCGAATAAGTTGTGTGTCTTTGCTCTGACTTTTTTTTTTCTTTCCCATAGGTGAAGACCGCGGTGTCTATGTCTGTGTCTAGCGAGTACCGAAGGTATCGTAGCTCTCTCTCCGTTGATTTTAAAAGGTTCACGGCGTCCATGACAAGTGGAATTTCATTTGGAAGTGACAAAGTTATGTTTCAGTGTGGTACAAGTAACAACCCTGAGCCCATTGGAATGAAGTTGATTTCTATCGACCGGGCATTTGACGACAGCTTCTTTAAGGCACTCAGTAAGAAATACCAATGTCAGAATTTGGCACAACGGAGAATAAACGTGAAAAAGATTTTAAAAGAATACCCAGTCCTAGAAGGAGCTAAAACATATCCTAAAGGTATCATCACATATCGATTCCTGTTTTAAAGCTATATGTGCGCCACTATTTGTTCAACTTGAAACATTTATGTTAATTTGTTTTGGTTGGCACAATTGCCACTTAAAGTCTTCTTCAGCGCTACCAATCCGTAACAGCTATTTTGGTGTATTCTTGAATGATATTCGTTAAGATCCTCACTAACCCTCTTCATCATCTTCTGATGATGGGGATCTAATTTTTCCTGGCTAATGACCATGTTAAATTAAATCTGATCTTGAGCTTACAAAATTCCAAAAGAATCTTGATGTAACCACTTAGTTTATTGAGATAGTTAGCTTTGAAATCTGAAAAGTGCTGACGTAGTACTTTTGAAAGATTTTCGAATAAATAGTCATATTGTGACATGAAAATCTTTCAACTGATTGACTAATATTGACGAAACAATTGACGTTTCTTTGCTCTACTGTTTACTTTTGGACAATAAAAGAATCATTGAACTTACTTCCTAGACTTTTCTTGACATTTTTTTCTTTGTTGACTTAAATTTCATGTTCAAAAGACTTTTTCTCTCTTTTTTCCAAATGTATCTTTAAGAAAGCACACATTTTTCAGCTTCGGTGAAGAAACAGTCGCGGGTAGCAACGTCATTAATTCTTAAGTGCGTATTCCTTCGTCTAAAGTAACGTGCAACTCTGTAACTATGTTAAAGAGTTGTCGCATCATAAGGTTTCTTGGAATTTTGTTAGATCCTACAGTCCGCATTCCTCTAACTTGGCCACTGGGCAAATATGGACTTCCTATGGCAAAATCAGGATGTCCAAACGGAAGTTTTTGGCACACGGGCTGGCGATACCAAGACACTGAAGATAAAGACCCAAGCAATTATTGGTCAAATCCCTACGATTTGTCGGGACATGTCCACAAAAGTAATATGGTACAAAAGTTCTGTATGAAGACAAAGTCCCGAACATCCAAATATAATATGCCATGGCCTGAAGGAAAATACTGCATCTTCAAAAAAGAAAATTGCCCCGCAGGTTAGTTCAGAAAGTCCTTTTTTTTTAATGAAAATATTAAAAAATTTTGGACTTTTCTTATTGTTTTATGGTGAACATGGCGAAGTTTCTTTTCTCACAAGCCGTATAGATTATGTAACATGCTTATCTTTAATTCGGTCAACAAAAATTTCGATATCTGCTATCCGTGATTCATTACTTGTTCCGCCGTGATCCATGCCTTAAATCCTCTGGTACGACTCTTTCCAAAAACATAACCGTCTGCGGCCGTTACATGTATTTTCATTCCTTAAGTGCAGATGTTGAACCAACCAAGCACCTGACCTACCCCTATGAAGGAAAAAAATATTGATTTCAACCAGAATTTTTTTGCCTTTGAAGTCTTTTTCTTGCACCTTATTCGATGGTTTAACATTTAATACATGTGGATATTTTGCGAGTTGGGGCAAAGAAAGACCGGCAGCAAAAAAATTTACACTTATTTTATCTGTTAAACCATCGAATAAGGGTCTATTATTCCGCTATTATTTCATTTTCTAGGCCTGCAGTTTTACAAATGCTTCTTACAACCTTACCTCAACAACGTATCGATCGCATAGAAACAACAAAAACGAAACTATCTTTACAAGTGTTTTTATTATCAACAAAAATATCTTTTAAGTTTAAAAATTAAGTCGTTTCTTAAAAAGGCAAGCCGAAAAACCGAAAAGAAATCAAAGGTTAAAGCGTTCAGTGCGGTCATTTTTTGGCCCGTGTCTTTTTCTTTGTTCTACGATGTATTACCGTCGCATACTTTTAGCACTCCGTTGCTCTGATGTGTTCAAATGACGTAATTGCGAAATGATAAATTATAGAAGTCGTAACTCACATCATTCAATTCAAGCGTAATGCTGCGCTAAATTTTTGCTGCACAGATTTCGAGGAGGCATACATTCGTTGGGATGATGAAGATGACGATAACAAAAATGGAAGAGGGGGCACGCTTCCGGAAGGTTCTTACGACTATAACACTCGCATCGAATACTGTTGCCGTACGGATGGAGATGCCACAGAAGCCATTCGCCTTCCAACTGGCTCACCGTTTGTGCTGATAAAGGCTAACACCCACCTCTGTCAAAAAGTGGATGGAATGACACATAGATCAGAGTACTTTGGCTGGGACACCGAGGATAACGATCCACAAGTCAACATTCATGGACCGATCAATGCTGAGTTGAGTTCAAACCGTAATATAAAAGTTCACTACTGTTATTACAATTAATCCAGTACAAGGACCCCACGCACGGCCGCAGACGTAACTGTTGCCTCAAGAAGATTTCGCCTTGTTTTTAGACATTAGAAGTGAACGAGAAAAATAAAGGGAAAGTAAATTGTAAACTAGCGTCAGAAGGCGCTTTTGAGATCAGAAATTAAAGCTAACATGGTGCTGGGTCAATTGATTTGATGCCTCAATATTCTTGGTGATGCTGCAGCTTTTGGAGCACTGGTTTAATCCAAAGGTACCAGACTTCCTGGCCGCGCATTATGTAACAGGTGTTTGTTTGTTTGCAATTCTGGTTTTTCTTTGTTTGTTTCCCTGGTTTGTCCCTGGCATTCCGACCATATTCCGCTCTTTGTAATCCAGTATATTTTTTCCTTCATGTCAATGACAGCATTCCTATGATGCAGTAAGAAATGATAAGAGCGAGACTCAAGTTCGCACAATCTTGACGTTGATTTAGGATGACAAGACCGTTTTCATGTTTCTTTACATAAATGACGCACAGCTTAAAATCGGACGCAATTGTATTCATGTACGCTTTTCTAAATGGTGTGTTGAGGTCACGAACCCTACGACCAATGGTGTTATAATTAGATCTTGATTTTTAAAAGTTTGGACTTCAGGCTGGCCTTTTTTTCTTTTTTTAAATTTATTTTACAACATTTTACCACTTCAAGGTCACAGTCCCTTACCCATTTTTCTTGACTCTTTCGGGGGCTAGAACAATTTTTTTGTATTAGAATTTAATGCGCTAATTTAGTCGGCTTGGTGGCTGCAATCTGTTTTTGCACCGAAAACCCCTGATCCTTTCCATCTGGCGTTTTCAATTTCAAAGACTTCATAGCTCCCCTTATGGCCGTGGTTACTCCATAAAATTCAAGGAAAGAGGCGGATAAGCAGTATTTCTCTCTAAACTCTCCATAAGTTATGACTTTAAAATCATCGTTAACAAGATCTTTGATATTTTGTACACCAGCTTCTGCCCAATGCTTTTAGAAAAAAAAGGCCTATCAGCAACTCTGACTAATGAGTTATTCCATATTATACTACTACTACAAAAGTCGTGTTTGGAGAGGAAAGAGTCTCTAAAATTAAAGTCCACCCAGATGTCGATAAATTTTCGGAGGAAGTCCTCCTTGATATCATGTTTCGTAGCGTCTTTTTTTTCCAAGTTCCCAAGAAAAACTAATTTTCCTCCCCATTTTGAAAGAAAGAAATCCCCAAAATTTTTCCATTTGGATTTACAATCATCAGAAATATACTTTACTATCTACGCGATCTTTAAAGACTTACTGAATGCTATGATGTCCAAAATTTTTTGACCACCATCGCCTTCGTCAGCAATCATTTTAGACCGTTTGATTTTGTCCCTTTTTCCATCCCAATTTGAAAAGCAAACCATTTATTTCTTTAAACAATTTAAAACACGTAATGAGGACAAAATGTAGATCAATTGGGATGCAGCCAACATCTTTATAATTGTAATCTTTCCAGGAAGCGTTAATCTCTTGTTTTGCCAATTGTTAAGAATATCTTCAACTTTGTGAACCTTGTCTTCATAGTTCATTTTCATTTCTTCATTTTGGTCCGTACAAAACCAAACACCTAAGGCCTTGACTTTACCATCCGCCTATTTCAAGTTTTTTTGTGGGCACATAATTTGATTAGACCCTTTCTTTGATCCTATCCAGAGAACTTTAGTTTTTCCACAGTTAACTCGCAGGCCAGACAGTTGGCCGAAACTGTCTAACAAAGCAAAAGACCTCTCAAGTGACGCTTGTGAACCATCCAATATCATCGTGGTGTCGTCCGCACACTGACTTAATTTACACTCGACATTTCCTACAGAGATTCCTTTTATCTCATTGTCTCCACGAATAGCTGTAGCTAACACCTCGACACAGAGAACAAATAGGTAAGGCGAGAGCGGGCAGCCCTGCCTTACACCTCTACCTAAGCTAAAGAAACTCCCCGACCATCCATTATTTATTTTGCAGCTTTGGACATTAGAGTAAAATAAATTAGCCAGTTAATTAAAGAGGAACCAAAACCAAAATGCTCCAGCGTTTTCCACAAGAAAGTCCACAATAGCATCAAATGCTTTTTCGAAGTCGATGAACAGGAGTAATCCAGGAATATCTTTCAAGTGGGTATAGGAAATAACATTATTGATCAAACAAATACTTTATGGAATAGAACGGCCTTTCAGAAAACCGGTCTGATCGTGATCTATAAGATCCGACAACACAAACTTGAGACGAGAAGCGATCGCTTTTGATGCAATTTTGTAATCGTAGATAAGTAGGGTTATGGGCCTCCGATTCTTCAATTCGTTTAATGCTTTGTCTTTTTTCGGGATCAAAGAAATGATACCCCTCCACTAAGTTATGAATAGTTTTCCTTTTTGATAGTTTTTATTAAAGGAACTTATAAGAAAAGGTGATACATCTCTCCAGAAAACTTTATCAAATTCGATAGGGAGACCGTCTGTACTAGGTGATTTACCATTGACTTGACAGCTTCTAAACATTCTTTTTCAGTTAAGAGACCCTCACATTTTTTTCTAATCCATTTTGTTAAGTTTGTGGTGTTTATAGTCAAAAAAGTTTTTCCAAATGTTCTGTTATTTTGGTACTTTGTTTGTGTAAAGATCTCTATAAAAAGAGTTACACTCTCTCAGAATATCTGAGTCATTTGTAAGATATCGGTCAGTTTAAGATTATCTCGAATATTTTGAATCACTTTCAAGGAATTTCGGTGTGTCGTTAATTTCCCACCCTTTTTGTCCTTCGTGGCATCCCTAACAAGATTAAAATCTCCCCCAAGAATAATTTCCTCACAACTAAATATTATCATTTGTTCACGTACATTTTGAAAGAAAATAGGTGGTCTTTGTTAGGAGCATAAATATTACAGATGGTGAAGATTAACTAACCGACTTCTACATCAATAATAATGTACCTTCCTTCCTTATCACATATCTGCTTGGTACCGTAAATTGCACAACAGAAACTGAAGGTAGTTCTATGAGGAAAAGCCGCATTAAATCCTCGTGTCTCACTGAAATGTCTCATTCGAATTTAGTTTTTGTGGAGGAAGGACCAGATTTACTCACGCCATTGTAGCAAGCGAACGAGCAAACTCTCACAAGTAAATCTGCGTACATGAATTAATCGTCGACGAGAGTGAATAATATTTCCATAAGATTATTGACTGTTGTTTTTTTAAAAGTGTACATGCGCTTTTTTTTTTCCTTACGCGCTCTCTAATTTACTGGTGTCAGATTGTGACAGATACTTGTAAAAATGATGTTTCAAAGTTTTTTTGGAAGCCTTTTAAATCACCTTTATCATTACGCAAATGAAAATGTTTCGGTGAAGCCTCTCTCTTTAATTTGCATTACCTCTATTTTAACTACCATTTACTCGCTCAAAATTATTCAGTTTATATGGAGGATCTTGCTGTAATTACAGCCCTTAATCATTCGGGTTCTTTTGGAAAGAATTTCGCTAAGTTTAAGCAAAAAAAAATTAAACCTCTGTCTTGAGTACCGTTTTCCCCAATAAGGACCTCCCAGCTGGCGATTAACATATATATATATATCAATTAGGGGATTAAGAGTTGATCCAATATCAAATTCTCCAAACTAACATCACAAGAACTGTATGACAGACAGTAAGGAGAATTACTAATGAGATCTTGGGAGTTAAAGGGTTAATAACGAGGAACCTTCCTTCATTCCTTTTAGGACTCCAGACCAGTTATTTTGCAAAGCTTTGTCAAAGCATTGTAAAAATTTACTTGTCGTTACTTATCAACTAGATATGTCCTTTGTCTTTATTGATTGTTAAGATATGCTTCACAGGTAGGAATTCCATCGAAGAACCCATTTTCGTCACAACTTGAATTTCTAGGGGCTGCTTCCGTACCACTATAGCGAGAGATCGACAAGTAAGTTAATTCCGCTTGATCAAAGTACACAACGCCATCCCTGGGTCAAAGAGTGATTCTTTCAAGAATATCGCGTGACTAACGTGGTACTTAAGGACAACTTGCAATTGAATGTCTCTAGAAAGAGTGACTGCTAAACCTTCGCCTCGTTCTGTTTTTAAATAAAAAAAAGAAAAATGAAGCGATGATCAAAAGTCTTCGAAGAAGAAAGAAACGCCACTGAAATCCATTACTGCCGGAGCCAACATAAATTCATTAACGAAATAAAGTGATTCGACACAGGATTGATCCATTGTGTCAATAAAATGTTAAAAATCCACCAGTAAAAATTTTTATTCTTTACATTGCTCACTTCCTCGCAATTCTGCGATAATTAGTTAAAAGGAGCAATATCACTTTCGTAAAGTAAAAATTGTAGCCATTCTCACCACCTACCCCTTTTCGTTGCAAATCGGCTCGTTCTGTTTTAGCTTACAAAATTTAACCCTAGGAACTACTATGCGTATGTTCACTCGCTTAGATTTTTTTGTCTGTGATTTATTACCATATAACAAAATCTTTCAAGCGTATGTTCTTTCACTTAAATTTTATTATGTCTATGATATATTACCATATCAACAAATTTTTTGAGCACACGTTCAATGGCTTAAATTTCATCCTGCTAGTTTTTAAATTTTTACAAACAAAACATTGCTATATATACACGTTCTTAGATGCATAAAGTATTTCGTTATATATAGCTATTGATTAGCATTAAATGCTCTTTTAATCACCTTCATTATCATTCTACCACGCCATTATCATTCTACCACGATGGATTTTATGCTGTAAAGTTTATTGTTCTACTTAATTGACTTCCTTAGAGCTTACGCCCTGTTGATAACCAGGAGTCACAGTACATATTGTGAAAGTTTTCTTATAGGGTTTAGAGATATGCAGAGACATATCAATTAGCCTTTTTCATGGCTACCACGGCTAATGACCACTCTTCAAGTACACAAATCAATATACTCACCTCTTAGGTGACGGTAATTCAGCATGCTCGGTATCAATGAAGACTTCGCAAAGGGCTGCAAATAACTGGTATGAAGCTAAACTTTCGTCTGGTGATAAGGCGGTACGGAAAAGGAATAATCTATGACCAAAAATAAATTGTAATAAACGCCTCTCTTAGACTCGCCAAAACTGAAAACATGATTCAACTAATTTGCCACGTGGCACTCTACGCCGCTTTTGTTTATCAGTAGTAATATCATTTCTTTGTTCATTTAAACACGAAAATTCTGCAAGTGTTCTCAGAGCGCCGTGGACCCTTACTTATTTTATCTCGTCACATATTTACTGCATCAAAAGGCAAAGAGTAACCATGCATCTTTTCGTCCTTATTGTCGCTTTCGGCACCACTTTCACCCCTGGCTACGGTTATCCCAAAACGGCTAAAGGCCTTAATTTTATCGGTGTTGGGTATGACATCCTGAGAGGAAATCCAGACGGTGATCTGTCAAAAGGTGGAATTGACCCAGAACTGAAAATTACCAGAAAAATACTGAAGTTGACGTGGAACGACAGAAAACTTTCGGTTAATAAGAAGTACAAGGTGCCAGATCAGGTTGTTTTTGCTGATCGCGACTCCAGTGCAAAAGAAACCGTGCAAGAAGTTTTTTCTGGAACTAAATCCTACCAAGACAAACTCAAGACTGTGGTAAAAGTCGACGGTGAGTAGAAGAGATTAAGAGAGGTTGCATTATTGCTCAAGGTTATGTCCAGTTTTCAAGGAAGATCGACTTTCAAGAGGAGCGTTATGTGCATATATATAAATCTTGATAATAGTCTATCGTTGCGGTATAGTGCTAGATGCGTTCGTAGAGCGTGGTATATCTGAAGGTTGGACAAATCAATAAGACATAACTTTTCTGTGACTGAGTTTCACGCTTGCGCGAACATCAGACAGATTTTGCGATTCCACACTCAACTATTCCTAATCCAAGAGTCCCTGTTCCAATAGAGAGGGACAATAATTCAAACTAAGACTATAGCCTGGTTACTAAGTCAGTTCACAGCACGGAAAATTTTATTCACCTGTGAGTAATTCCGTTGAAACATTTTATATATCTTTGTATATTCTCTCGGTAGGTGGCGTGAACTATATATTATGGAATCTTGCATTCAGCCTCAGTACAAGTAAGAACAAAAATTATTGATTCGTTTTGCTTACAGCTAACCTGGTTATCACCCTTTCTCTTCTTTCATGAGCGAGGTTTCGTGGAAATCTTAAGGCAAAAATGAAAAATGTAAATGAAAAAAAGTCCAAAAAAATTTACAGGTTACATATTTCAAAAGGGAAATCACACCTGATACCGGTTCATAAAATCACTAATTGCACGCTATCCTTTCTGCAAAATTCTCAAGTCACATTTCAATTTTGGCCTCATAACCATTACAATTTCCACAAATATGATTGATGCAATAGCTACTTAATTTTTTACAAATTATTCTGTAGAGTTGTAATCGAACAGTGTAATCGGACAGTGGAATATAACTGGACTGTTAAAGCAGTCAATCATATGAAGTCCACTCAATCAAATCCAGAACTGATCAAAGTAACCATAATAACATTCAACCACTTCCCAACAAAATTGGGGAATTTCCAAAAATGGAGGAATTTTTACCTTAAAAGACAAAGTCTCTATCGGAGATGTTTTTTTCAAGGTCAGTTTTGACTCCTTTCCATGGCTTTCTGTGGAAACTTTTAACGATTATGATTTAATGGTTACAGCTGGGCTTTGTGTCTTCCAATTCTGTGTGTAATCATACTCTTAATTAACAAATCAGACTCCCACTGTACAGTTATCCAACTTTATTATCACACATATAATTATAGACAGAATTGGACTCCACTCAGTCCTATTATCATTAAACTAATCACACATCATGTGAAAACCAGGGTGGAAAGGAGCCATCATAAACACCATGACAAGAATTAAGAATTCTTGTTAGGAGGAGTTCCTCTCGTATGGCACGCTTACCAACAAATAAACAGAGTGGCTGACTGACCAACTGCCTGATTGGATGACAGATTGACTGATAGCGTGACTGACTAACTGACTGACAACTGTCTAGCTAACTTATTGAATGGTTGGCTGGTTAAGTGGTTGGCTGAATGATAGCTAGCTAGTTGGCTAGAAGGCTGGATAGTTGACTGATTGATTGCTGGCTGGCTTGGTGGTTGGCTGAATGATGACTGACTGGATGGCTGGAAGGCAGGATAGATGGATGACTGCTATGTTGATTGTTGAGAATTCTATGATGGACTGATTCATTCATTCATTCATTCATTCATTTTTTTCTTCTTTTGCCCTTAATTATTGCAGTGTATCAGAGGGTTTCTTACCAGACATTTCGTGCAAAAAACATATTTTACCAAGAGAAAGCTGTACATAATCTTGGAAAAGCACGATACCAACTGAATCTTGTTAAATGGAAACATTTCACCATCACCAATGAATTTGCTGCTTCTGTCTGTAACTTACCACAATCATACAACCAGATGGCTTATCACCGATTCATAAAGAATTGGGGAACGGTGGGTTTCTAAATTAATTTAATTGTTACCTCATTAACTTTTAATTTGAATGGGTTTAGCCTGGTTTTTTTGGCTATGTTTCAACCCAGTGTGTCAATGAACTATATGTGTTAACTTGCATAATTTTTGAGTTATCTATGTATAGTGTATCCTGAAATTGCAAAATATATGAGTTGTCCTTTCTTTTTTGAACTTCTTGACAATGTATAATTACATTGATTTAAGTTGTATAGAGGTCTCTAACTAGCCTCAGAGTTTTTTGCCACATCTTTGCATTTGACTAGAGTTGATGTTTATACTACAGTGATCTGATTTTTTACTTAATTTCATATTTTTTTGTCTTTTTGTTTTACATATTATAACTATCCTTTTTTTTTCTGCTAATAACGGGGCTAAGTTTCTAAAGAAACTGTGGTGCTGTGTCGGTGGGAGAGTATCATCAGCTTTGAAACTTTTTACAAAGGCTAATTTACATTATCAACTCAGTTGATAATACCAAATTACGTTAATTTTTTTTAAGCCCCACTCCCCCTTCCTTCCTAATAGGGGATTTGTAGGAATCTTTGGTTTTGTTAGTAAATAGTCTTACCATTTCACTATACACATCCAACCAGGAAACTGATTGGTTTTAATAAAGTGAATATTCCAAGGTGCATGTATGTTTCTGAAATTTTGGTTAAATTATACTCATGATAAACTCATCTTGATAAATTTCCAAACAAAATAATGTGAATCAAAAGTTATATATAATTTTTTTGGATACCAAGAGGAAATTTTCCCTCAGTTAACACATGTCAAGTGACCTTCTCTACCTGATGAACATGCACGAGCACCCAGTCCTCTTGGATATCAAATGTGGGTTGTTTCACAGCCATGCATGAAAACCTAATTTGTCGTAATGATAGTGCTAATAGAAATGATAATTGTGATGATATTGATTATAGTTCAAGATTCCCATTAAGACCCATTTAATTACACCAGAGCATGTTTTGTCTCAGAATTCAAATGGAATAAACAGTACATGTAGTTTAGTTATGAATTAAGCAATGAAACATTTTGATTGTCGCAGGGAAAGCAAAGCCATAAACTGTAGGCAACTGAGACATTAAGATAATTTTCATTTTTATCCAATAGAACTCGCCTGTTGAATAATATAAACTAAACTACAGACTGGAGAGCGTTATGTATCTTTTGTATGAATTTTATTATTTTCCTTACAGCATATTGTCAGCGAGGTGGAACTTGGAACCAGGAAGATTGAACGCTACAAGAGTTCGTACGTTGATTTCTTCAAATATGCGATGAAAAATGTGAGTATTGAGCAAAAAGAGGTCATTCATCTATCAATAAGTTTCTGCGCTCATTGAAATTAATTACTACCATGCAACAATGTGCACAGTAAAATTCGGGGCAAGTCAAAGTGAAATAGATTTTGTTGCTTGGCGTTCGACTGTACTCGTTTGATTGCCCTTAACCCTTTAACTCCCAGAAGTGATCAACAAGTAACTTCTCCCTATATTATGAGAACATTCAAACTTATCAGGTTGAAGTTGTTATCTCGATCTGACACCAAATTCTCCGAAGCTGAATAATAAAGCCACATATATGGATACATAATGAAGTATGGGGCTGTGCGGAAATTTTTCCCCAATTTTTCCATTGGCATTGAACTTGCAAGTTGCACGTTTCGCAAATTTGTCGGAAGACCGGGTTTTGACTTTTAAAACATCTTTTAGTGACACTCGAGTTCATCTGGTTTTTATTTTCTCCATTTTCCCCATAAATTTTGGGCTTTTCATTCACAGTTATCGGTTAACTGGATCAAATGTTTTCGCTCAAACCAAAGTATAAAATGTGGCGTGTTTTTGACCAGCCAATAGGGACGTTTGTTTACTTTTCTCTGTGCGTTGTGAGAATTTTGTACTCTATCACAATAAAAGGTTTCTTCGTGCAGATCCTTGTTGTCGCTCTGTTATAAAAGAATTTGCTCATGCTTTTAGCTGTGCGTATATCGAGTTATGGATGTTATGGATGGGAGGTTTGGAGAGCACTCAAGAAGCTAGAGTTGCTCTCGGCTGCGCCTCTAGCTACTCTTACGCATTTTTCATGCTCTCCAAACTTCCCGCGTGCATCCATTACTCGATATACGCACGCTAAGCATAAACAAATTCTTAAATCTTGGGAGTTAAAGGGTAAAGGCAAAGTCACATTTCCTTTGGTTCCAACTCCTAGACGAGTGTTAACTTACCGTTATGCTCCAAAGAGCCATTCTGATAACAATAATAAATTAGCCAGCAACCTGGTTTTGGCCCATAAAAGCTCCATGGAACATTTAAAGTTGAGCTATGTACCGATAACATATCTGAATTTTGAAAACATAAGTTTTGTTCTTTATGGACTTCTTTTATTCCATGATGCCTTTTAACGATAACTGATTCATATTTGCTCAAAAATACACAGTGTGAAAAATTACCAATAAATCGTTACAGACTACAACGAAATCGAAAGTAAAACATGAAAACTGGCTCCCCGCGTGTTACAAGTGTTATCGAAGCACTTTTCCACATCGAGTTTGTATGTTTTTCGCTCTGACTTTTTTGTTTCTTTCCCTTAGTTGAAAGCCGCGATGTCTTTGTCTGGCGGGTACAAAGGGTTTAGTAGCTCTGTCTCCATTGACTTTGAAAGGTTCACAGCATCCATGACAAGTGGCATTTCATTTGGAAGTGAAAAAGTTGTGTTTCGGTGTGGTACACGAAACAAGCCTGAGCCCATTGGATTGAAGTTGATTTCCATTGACCGGGCATTTGACGACAGCTTCTTCAAGGCACTCAGTAAGAAATACCAATGTCAGAATTTGGCACGACGGAGGACGAACGTGAAAAAGATTTTGAAAGAATACCCACGCTTAGAAGGAGCTACAACGTATCCTCAAGGTATCATCACGTATATATAGATGCTAGAAACGTTCGTGTTACTTTTGTAACGTTAACAATCAGGTAATAGCTATTCTGATGTATTTTTAACTGATATTCGTAAAGATCCTCATTAACCCTCTTCGTCATCTTCTGATGATTGGGATCTAATTTTTCCTGGCCGATGCCTATGCCTATGCTTATGAAATAAATCTGATCTTGAGCTTTCAAAATTCCAAAAGAATCTTGGTGTAGCCAAAAGAAACTTGGTGTAGTTTTCGAGATAGATAGGTCTGAAATCTGAAAAGTGCTGACGTAGTATTTTGAAAGATTTTCGAACACATGACTAATATTGACTGAACAATCCACTGCTCGATAATTTTGACTAAAGACATAAACTTGAGCTGGAAGGTATTTTGTAGCCAACAAGAAATTAATCATGTTCTGAACAGGCTTAAACGTTTTTATTTTGAAAACATTGACGTTTTTTTGCTCTACTGTTTTGAACAATTTAAGAATCATTGAACTTACTTCCTAGATTTTTCTTAACATTTTTCTTTTGTTGACTGAAAAGTCATGTTCAAAAGACTTTTTCTCTCTTTTTTCCAAATATATCTTTAAGAAAGCACACATTTTTCAGCTTCGGTGAAGAAACATTATCTTGGGTAGCAACGTCATTAATTCTTAAGTGCGTATTCCCTCGGCTAAAATAACGTGCAACTCTGTAACTATGTTAAAGAGTTGTCGTCTTATAAGGTTTCTTGGAATTTTGTTAGATCCTAAAGTCCGCATTCCTCTAACTTGGCCACTGGGCAAATATGGACTTCCTATGGCAAAATCAGGATGTCCAAACGGAGGTTTTTGGCACACGGGTTGGCGATACCACGACACTGAAGATAAAGACCCAAGCAATTATTGGTCAAACCCCTACGATTTGGCGGGACATGTTGGCAAAAGTAACATGGAGCAAAAGTTCTGTATGAAGATAAAGCCTCGAACATCCAGATATAATATGCCATGGCCTGAAGGAAAATACTGCATCTTCAAAAAAGAAAATTGCCCCGCAGGTTAGTTCAGAAAGTCCTTTTTTTAATGAAAATATTAAAAAATTTTGGACTTTTCTTATTTTTTTATGGTGAACATGGCGAAGTTTCTTTGCTCACGAGCCGTATAAATTATGTGACATGCTTATCTTTTATAATTCGGTCAACAAAAATTTCGATATCCGTTATCCGTGATTCGTCACTTTTTCCGCCGTGATCCGTGCCTCAGATCCTCCGGTACGAGTCTTTCCAAAAACACAACCATCTCCGGCCGTTACATGTATTTCCATTCCTTAAGTTTTAGATCTTAAACCAATCGATCATATGACCTACCCCTAAGAAAGAAAAAAACATTGACCTCAACCAGTATTTTTCGCTCTTTGAAGTATTTTTCCTGCACCTTATTCGACGGTTTAACAAATAATACGCGCGGATATTTACGGATTATTTCCGTTTATTTTATAGATTGAACCATCGAGTAAGGGTTTTATTCCGCTTTTATTTCACTTTCTAGGCCTCCAGTTTTACGAATGCTTCTTACGGCTTTACCTTAGCAACGTATTGATCGCGTAAGACGGAAACAATGAAAATGATACCATTTTTATAAGTGTTTCTATTACCAACAAAAATATCTGTTACGCTTAAAAGGTCATTCGTCGCTTAAAATTTCAGTCGTTGCGGAAAAGGACATGCCGAAAAACCTGTAGAAGTCAGAGGTTGAAGCGTTCAGTGCGGCCATTTTTTTGCTCCGCTTTCCGCCCGTGTTTTTCCCCTTTTCTGCAACGTAATATCGTCGCATACTTTTCGCACTCCGTTGCCTTGTTGTGTTCAACTGAAGTAATTGTGAAATGATAAATTATAGTTGTCGTACCTCGCATCTTCCCTCAAATAAATAATTCAATTCAAGCGTAATGCTGCGCTAACTATTTGTTGCACAGATTTCGAGGAGGCATACGTTCGTTGGGATGATGAAGATGACAATAACAATAACAAAAGAGGTGGCACGCTTCCGAACGGTTATTATAACGGTAACACTCGCATCGAATATTGCTGCCGTACGGATGGAGATGCCACAGAAGCCATTCGCCTCCCAACTGGCTCACCGTTTGTGCTGATAAAGGCTAACACCCACCTCTGTCAGGAAGTGGATGGAATGACACATAGATCAGAGTACTTTGCCTGGGACACCGAGGATAAAGATCCGCAAGCCAACATTCACGGACCGATCAATGCTGAGTTGGGTGCAAACCGTAATATAAAAGTTCACTACTGTTATTACACTTAACCCAGTACAAGGGCCCCACGCGCAACCGCAGACCTATCTGATGCCTCAAGAAGATTTCGCCTTGCTTTTAGACATTAGAAGCGAACAAGAAAAATAAAGGGCAAGTAAATTGTAAACTAGCGTCAGTGTACGTTTTTGAGATCAGAAATTAAAGTTAACATGGTGGTGGGTCTTACTGATTTGATGCCTCAATATTCTTGGTAATGCTGCAACTTTTGGAGCACGCACAGCTTAAATCGGACGCAGTTGTATTCAAGTTCGCCTTTCTCAATGGCCAAGAACCCTACGACCAATGGTGTTATAGTTAGATCTTGATTTTTAAAAGTTTTGAACTTCAGGGTGGCCTGCAAACTACGTTTTACAAGCGTATTTTCGCCTTACTCACATAAAATTATGTTGAAACCTTTAATGTAGTGTTCACCAAGGTGTCAACAGTTTGAAGTAACTTAATGTGACAAAATTGTTTAACTCCATCCCAGTGAAGGAATTACTTTGCACTGCCATTTGGGACTTTATTTGGTAAAACTGCTACAGATAGCTACAGCAATCTATGACTATGGACACGCAATGATCAAGCGCTAAGCCGGAATGCGCTGGACTCCGGCTCGGTAAATCTGGGTTAGGGATCGTTTTGTCATTTTCTTAAGTGAGCACTTCCCTCCCGCAGTACCTCTCCCCATAAGGACTTTACCTTGAACTGGCAGGATCACCCGACCAAGAAGTGGGAGATAAAATGCGATGCAATAGCACCCCATCCAGTGGGGTGCTATTGTAAGGAGAAATAGTGGGGTGATATTGTAAGGAGAAATACGTCGCCATCCCTAACTGTTTTTATGTTTATGTCCATGCGCCAAAGTGATTTAAAATATCGGGATTTTCTCTTTGTATCGGACACAGGTGACATAAAAAAATGAAGGCAAGAAACTATTTCTGTAACACTATCAATGTTCTCAATCGGCAAAACGGTCAGTATCCAAAGGGGTCGTTACACAGAGCAATAAATTTCACCTTTTAATTTCACGTTAGAACGAACAGCGAAGTCTCACAAATCAGCATGTCTTCCTTCGTCTCGCACGTGGGAAAAATGCGCCCGCGATTCAACTAAGCGGTAAATTCGCGAAATTCACCTAGACAACTAGTTAATCATTGAACGGCTAAATAATTACAATTTTTCGATTATTAACAATCAAGGTAAACAACAAAGGTTACACAGTAATCTAATGATGGCTAATTTATTTAACACCAAACACCAAACACCAAACACCAAACACCAAACACCGATTTCTCCTAACTAACGGAACAGTGATTATCAATCACCAGGGGGAGGTCAGAGGAATTAGCTACATAATACTACAGAGCATTAAGAGTTTATTATTGTATATTATTATTGTGACACAACCATAAGCCTCAGATTCCCCCCCCCCCCCTCCTCTCTCTCCCCCTCTCTCTCCCCCTGCCGGAGATTTATAATAATTGGTCCTAAACAGAAAATTATTGCTGCTAAATGAGGAAATTTCAGGTCATATCGCAGGAGTAAATGGATCACCGATCAGTAGATCTTCACTTCCGGTTCTATGATAATTGCTATCTTGATATCCCCTAACTTTACAGTGCGTTCTCAGCTCAACATCTATCCAAGTAGTTGTATAAAACGAACTTGTCATAACACTCTCGATGAGGATCAGCAGAATAATCGCGACCCGACTCATTATAACGTTTTTTTCCTTTGCCCCGAAAGCTACAATTTAAATAAACTGAGATGAAATGGGACCAAAAATTAAAAATTAATATTAATTTGGTTGCGGCAAAGTACCATATGGTCTACATTTCCCTCAAGTTGTAGAGAGCGGTTGTTCATCGCAACCGCGTGCAACCGAGAACTAAACATACTTTTTAAGGTATTTTCTTCTGGCCGATTTTCCATTTCAAAAATATTTGCAATATTCCAAAAGTTCTTCCAACACACAGCCCTCTCGACAGCACTCTTCTACAAGGTCGAAGTTCCTTTTAGTCACCTGCTGTGAAGTGAGAAATCCGTCAGCTCTTTGCTTGTCCAGGATTACTTTGCTGTCTCTTGGTTTTACTGAAGGAAAACAAAGTAGGACTTGATGGAAAATAATAGTTATATATTTTGATATCGAATTAATGAAATTGTTTCTGGGCATTTATAGGTAAGGAAGTTTTAAAATGATCGCTTATGCTGGTTACGGGATTGCTTGCTATCAACAAGCAAGATGGACTGGGTACACGCTTTGTTTTTGTTATGTGAATAATTTTCCCACCAACGACCCGGTCCGTCGTCACTGAGCATTCTCCTTTGCCCTGCTCTCCAAGAAAATTCTTGGAATTCGTAGGCGTGAGAGTCTTATTTTGGTGAGTTTTTTTGGTGAGACTGTTCGTTACCCATGAAAACCACCAGTGTGCGATAAATAACTACCCAGTGGTAAATGATGAATGATCCATAAACACATTTTTTCAGTATCTTTCGTTACTTCACTTCATGTGAACCATTCGCAGTTTATGACACCAGTCTTTAAAGTAGCTGTATACTTATGAAACAAAATACCGTACCATTTCTTTTCCTTCGCAATCTGCAGAACCTAACTAAAGCTGTTGTGAGTTGAACGCCGCAAATATGAAAGGAGATCTGCTTTCCGGAAATCTCGTCAATTTTACGGCAGCGATCAGGTGGTGAAAGCGGGGTACAAGGAAAGAAAGACGCCTCGATTTGTAACGACGTGGTTAGCATCCATATTATAAATACGAAGCTTATCCAGTTTATCTACAGTTGTGGAAAAAGAAGACAAAATGATCAGTATCCATTAATAGCTTCACCTCTTATAGCTTAGGAGCTGGCTAAGAAGCTTGCGGACTCCGGGTAAAACAAAAGTTAGACTCCGACAGGCTTACCCAGGCCCCTCTCAAGTGAGGAGAAATAGAAAGAGGAGAAAGATCATAGCTTAATCGAAACTCCGCGAGGAAAGAGAAAATAATAACTACAGGGAAAAGTTGCTAACTTCGATGTCGGCAAAATTACTAATTGGACAGAGGAAAATCATTCAAACCTTGTTAAGCAATTAAAACGAGCGGAAAGGCTCTCACTTCGTAGTTTTACAAAGATTAGCAACTCTAGAAAAACTTTTCTCATTGAAAACGATGTCGTCCCTGGTAAATTAGGTCCTTGCCTTAAGTGAGTAGACATTTGACTGATTAAAGAGCAATAAAACCTTTTAAATTTCTCACCTTGTAGCTCATCTCGCTTGGTTCGTGTCCACAAGTGTAAGCACCAGTTCTTACTATGATGTGAAATAGTTTTATAGATTACTCGCTTTTATCCTCATGGAGGTATATGATCAACAAATGTTCTCTCCACACATGGTCAATACATTTTGCGGGACAACAACAGACAGGCATCAGCAAAAACAAAATTCTTCCAATCAGTCAATCATTCTTAGATAATCACATGCGCTGCACAAAGAGAAACTATTTCGATCTTTTGTGTTCTATAGCGTAAAAAAGTTATTTCTGTTAAAAAATGATTCCGTTATTAGTTGAGGCCGCGGAATCCTTTTTCGTCACATATTATACGCCTGTAAACACCTTCCTCGCAATGTTTTGCAAAATCTTAATCCAAGAGCAGTATAGGTATCGATGTAATATCAATATGTGATATTACTGCGATTTATTTTTAGCTCTTAATGTTTTTGCGTTGTTCTGTATGGCAAAACAAATCCTATGTCAGGCATAATGAGCCTTTCAAGTATTTTCAAGCTTTGTGAGATGTGTGCATGAAAATACGACCAAAACATGTATCTAACGATTTTGGCGCTTGTCGATTCTAACTGATGGCGAGTTGATGTTGCTTTGCAAGATTAGAAAACTTCAAATTCCCGATCGAGAAGCCATTTTGGCACATGACCCTAAGTGATAAGCAGATCCTCAGATTTTCAAGTGCGATTAACTAGAGATCTTCCTCTCACTGGGAATAGTGCGCTAATTGCAAGCTTTCCTGTTGGAATTTAATCCAGGCTGTTCTAATCGTCTCTCATTTAACTTACCCTTGCCAATTTTCGCTTTTCGTGTGTTTTTCTTAAAGTTTTCCTTGATGTTTAAAACATCATTGCGATATCACAACTAACTTTCTGTCTAGTTAGTTCGCTCTGACGAAGTCTGAAATAGCACGAGATTTAAACCTGCTTAAACTAGAGCATCGAGTTAATGATCAAACATTGCACTTACAAAGGAAACCTCACAACTTGTTTTTGATTTTTTGAAATAAATAAAAAAAGTTAGGAAGCGAGCGCATACAAGAAATTCCATCTTGATGCGTGAAAAAAAAATAATACAAGAAAAAACGATTATTAAAAAAGTAAATTCAGTTAACGATGTTGCTCAAACTTCTAATTCAATCGATATAACTCATTGTAAAACAAATATATCGTTAATTTTCCCTCAGGCATCTTTTTTCTTTTAGTTCCCAAACCGTTTTACGACAAACGTCTCCTGCGCGCGCAATTCGCGATCTTTTTGTCGCTTTTATTAATATTCATCGCTTTCCGTGGGCCTGAGAAAATATATTGGAGTTTAGATACCGATTTTATGCCCTCTTTTATATACTGGTGCATTCATTTAAGCTGAGTCACGAATTGCGCAAAACAAAACAAGTGTGCGTAGCTAGCGGTTTCCTTAGGCGTTCGAAAGAACTGAGAACGACGAAGCCGAGGAAGCGACTCTTCAGGCGGCCATGTATTCCTTGCCACTCCTCTTTGAGCTCCGCCACACGAAACTCTCACAGAACAGCCGTGTACGCAAGCCAAATGCATCAAGAAAAATATTATTACACTCTCAAATAATTTCTTGCTTTACAATATAGATGGTTCTCCAAAAATTATTTTAATCCTCTAAATGTGAATTACACAGTCGAAATATTTCTCAGTATAGTTATAATCCAGCAAAACGTTATCGGCTGAGGGTGTTATTTTGATACGATGCTATTTACAAGGAAAGGGATGGCAACTAGTGGGGGTGAATTCCTAATCAGATATCGGTAAGTTTTGAACGTCAATAATCCAGTGATATGACATTTCCTGAGTCGACCTGCGGTTGAAGATTCAGGAGTCAGCAAGAAAATTCCCTTTAAACCATATCACTCAGTCTTGAAGGAAAACTTATCGAGATTTTGAGACTCTTCAAGAGATAAATTGATATTGCGAGACCAGCGTTACTTGCCGAAAATTCCACGCAATCTGTTGTTTTTAAGAAGTGTTACTAGTCAACCTTGATATTGATACGCAAATGTAAATCAGCGTGTTATTCTTTTCACAATCAATGATTACTTTTTTATCAACATAACAACGAAAAGCTGTTCCCAACATCTTGAACAACGTAACAGAGACCAAGGAAAGGTAATTTACTCTCGGCGATACTGGGGCAAAGAAAGACCGGTGATAAGCAAAATTTCCGTTTATTTTATATGTTAAACCATCGAATAAGGGTTTTTTATTCCGCTTTTATTTCATTTTCTAGGCCTCCAGTTTTACGAATGCTTCTTACGGCTTTGCCTCAACAACGTATTGATCGCGTAAGACGGAAACAATGAAAATGATACCATTTCTATAAGTGTTTTTTATTACCAACAAAAATATCTGTTACGCTTAAAAGTTCAGTCGTTGCTTAAAAGGGTAAGCCGAAAAACCTGAAAGACACCAAAGGTTGAAGCGTACAGTGCGGCTATTTTTTTGCTCCACTTTCCGCCCGTGTTTTTCCCCGTTCTGCAATGTAATACCGTCGCATACTTTTCGCACTCCGTTGCCCTGTTGTGTTCAACTGACGTAATTGTGAAATGATAAATTATAGTTCTCGTACCTCACATCTTCCCTCAAATAAATTATTCAATTTAAGCGTGATGCTGCGATAAATATTTGTTGCACAGATTTCGAGGAGGCATACGTTCGTTGGGATGATGAAGATAACAATAACAATAACAAAAGAGGTGGCACGCTTCCGGAAGGTTATTACGACCATAACACTCGCATCGAATATTGCTGCCGTACGGATGGAGATGCCACAGAAGCCATTCGCCTCCCAATTGGCTCACCGTTTGTGCTGATAAAGGCTAACACCCAAATCTGTCAGAAAATGGATGGAATGACACATAAACCAGAGTACTTTGCCTGGGACAGCGAGGATAAAGATCCGCAAGCCAACATTCACGGACCGATCAATGTTGAGTTGGGTTCAAACCGTAAAATAAAAGTTCACTATTGTTATTACACTTAACCCAGTACAAGGGCCCCACGCACGACCGCAGACGTAACTGATGCCTTAAGAAGATTGCGCCTTGTTTTTAGACCTTCGAAGCGAACAAGAAAAAATAAAGGGAAAGTAAATTGTAAACTAGCGTCAGTATACGCTTTTGAGATCAGAAATTAAAGCTAACATGGTGGTGGTTCTTACTGATTTGATGCCCCAATATTCTTGGTAATGCTACAACTTTTGGAGCACGCATAGCTTAAATCGGACGCAGTTGTACTCATGGACGCTTTTCGCAATGGTGCGTTGCAATCAAGAACCCTACGACCAATGGTGTTATAGTTAGATCTTGATTTTCAAAAGTTTGAACTTCAGGCTGGCGTTTTACAAGCGTATTTTCGCCTTAGTCACCAAAAATTCTGTTGAAACCTTTAATGAAGTGTTCACCGAGGTTTCAACAATTAGAAGTAAACTAATGTGACAAAATTGTTTAACTCGATCCAAGTGAAGGAATTGCTTTGCACTGCCATTTGGGACCTTATTTGGTTAAACTGCTACAGATAACTTCTATGGCTATGGACACGCAATGATCAAGCGCTAAGCCGGAATGCGCCGGACTCCGGCTCGGTAAATCTTGGTTAGGGATCGTTTTGTCATTTTCTTAAGTGAGCACTTCCCTCCCGCAGTTCCTCTTCCCATAAGGACTTTACCTTGAACTGGCAGGATCACCTCACCAAGAGCTGGGAGGTAAAGTGCGATGCAATAGCACCCCTTCCCGGTGGAGAAATATCACTTCATGATAAAGAGACTGAAATAAGCTCTGAAAGGGTGGGTTTTCTGGGTCTGGGGTTGAGCCATTTTATGCATCACTATCGAGGGGAGCAAAGTCCTTTTCAAGTTTGTCACTTACGGTGCTAACCCTTCACATCCTAACATCAGTATGCATATTCTCCATAACGTTCTCTCTACGTTTCCTTTCTGAGCTGCTGACATGGAGAATTTGTTTACTATTCAAGAGTTTTTTTAGTTGGTGATCATTTCCTTTATTCTCGTCACCTTAATGTTTGATGCGGGGGTGATATTGTAAGGAGAAATACGTCGCCATCCCTAACCGTTCTCATGTTTATAAGGATTTGTCCACGCGCTAAAATGATTTAAAATATCGGGATTTTCTCTTTCTATCGGACACAGGTGACATAAAAAATATTATTTTTGACGATTGAGTCTGCGAATAAGGCAGAAATAAATATTTTGTTGGCACGAGATACGACAAGGCCTTGGCCTAAGGCCCGAGCATCATGGGTAATGATGCTCTGGCTATATAAGGGGGAGTATTGCACGTGATGTCCACCTAGGCCTCAGAACAAAACCGTCCACCTCTGGCTGATGACAAATTTAGTGATCTTTTTCTGGTCTTTCCTTCTCGCTGTCGCCATGTCGATCGAGAAAGAAGACGTGGAAGCACTAATCAAGGCTAACAATGACAACCTTCTCGCTTCTTTCAACGGCCTCTTAAAGCAGACCGTTTCTCAGATCAAACGGTCGAACGAAGACTTGGCGGAAAGCCAGATGAAGGAGATCAAGCGCCTCAAATTCAACGAGTCGCATAAATTTAAGAAAAAGGCAAACGAGGACCAATTCAAGTTTAACCAGAAACTGAGCGAGACGCTTGACAGCGCCAAATCCGCCGCCGAAAATTCACAGCTCGAGAAGGTCAAAACCAGCTTAGAAGAAGGTGAGACACTAATTTCTGAGCGGCAGAGACACATCCTACTGACAGACAAGTCAGATTACGGATGGGCTACGGTCGATGAATATAAAAAGCACAGTTTGGCAGATGACTCCGATGATGAGAAGCGGATATTCAAGGCTAAATCGCGCGCTCGTACTTTTGTCAACGCATTAAAGAAGAAGAAATCTTCGGCGCCGGCAGAGTCTACCGTTTCAAGCCAACCGCGGCCTATTCCCGCACTTGTGCCTGGTTTTCGCCTCGACCCAAACCCGGGACATGTTTTGCGTGTGGTAAATCTGGCCACTGGTGCGCATCCTGTCCAACAATGGCCCAGCAAAATACATCAATAAAGTGACTAGACGACCGCCATAACTCAGGTGTAGTTCTTTCCTTAGATATTATTGAAGCTAGTAGTTTGCCTTCGCAATCAGAATTAGGCAGTGCCATTGACTCGGATCCTAGCGTTGCCGCTTGTGCTGATTCTTTCCTGTTAGATTCCTTAAAAGATTCAGACTCTCTTGCAGTTGATTTGTCTTATCCATCTGTACGTGGAAGACTTGGAGAATTTGTGGATTTTTGGCGTACTTTGGAAGTTTCGCAATTCGTCCTGAATGTTATTATGCAGGGTTACAAAATTCCCTTCTTCCAACTTCCAACACCTTTTGCTAAGAGAAACAATACTTCTGCTCGTGAGAATAGTGATTTGTTTCGCAAACTGTCAACAATTTACTTCGTTTGGACCTAATTGAAGAACTTGCTTGTAAGCCCCATATCATCAACCCGCGTTCAGTTTCTACCCGTAGTTCGGGAAGGCAAAAGCTCATTTTGGATCTTCGACATGTCAACCAGTTTATATACAAACAGAAGTTTAAATGCAAAGATCTGGGCGTCGCTACACAGTTATTTGATCATAATTATTACTTGTTTAAATTTGACCTTAAGTCTGATTATCACCACATTGAAATTTTTCCGGACCACAGAAAATTTCTCGCTTTTGCTTGGGATTTTGGGAATGGGGTTTCAAGATATTTTCAGTTCTGTGTGCTCCCTTTCGGTCTCTCTTCAGCTCCATATATTTTCACATCAATTTTGAAGCCATTACAGAAATCGTGGAGGAGCCAGAGCATCCCTATAGCTATTTTCCTTGACGACGGTTTAGGAGGAGGAACAGATTTTGTTTCTGCTAAAGTTAACAGTTTAGTCGTCCATTCAGATTTACTCAAGTCTGGATTTGTTCCTAATGAGGTAAAGTCCCTTTGGGAGCCTGTCCAGGTTATCACCTGGTTAGGTGTGGTTCTCGACACTACTGATGGGACTATAAAAGCAACCGACGAACGCATTGAAAAGTTAAACGCTGGCCTTGTTGAGCTGATGTCTTGTCAACCTCCCCAGAAAGTGCACTTGAAAAGAGTCGCTACCGTAACGGGTCAAATAACTTCCCTCTCTCCCTGTGGGGTTCTGTTGCCCGTATTATGACTAGATTTCTTTTCTCAGTCGTGAATTCGGCGCGCTCTTGGGAAAGCGAAGTTTTCTCTCAAACGACTCTCTTTCAGAAATCAGTTTCTGGAAGAACAACGTGGTATTCCTCAATAGCAAGGTTTGTTGGTCGGTCCAGTCCCAGTCAAGGTCACCTTTTCAGATGCCTCCAATTCGGCTTCTGGTGCTTTCGTAAAGAACTCGAATTTAGTATTTCATCAGAACTGGTCTCCTGTACAGCGTACCCAAAGTTCCACTTGAAGAACTCAAAGCTGTTTGCCTCGCCTTGGAAGCTTTCGCGAGTCATTTTCTGGTGTTGAGGTTATTTGGTTCCGATAACCAGAACGTCGAATCTATTCTTCAAAACGGTTGTAGGAAAGCTGACCTGCACCAATTGGCCCTCCTAACTTTCCAAATATGTCTTAAGTTTCACATATCACTGGAGGTCAAGTGGATCCCTAGGGAGCTTAATGCTAGGGCTGATGCAATGAGCAAATTAACCGATCATGATGACTATACCATTAACGAAGCTATCTTTCAAAGAATTGACCTATTTTGGGGGCCCTACTCCGTTGACAGATTTGCTTGTTCCTATAATGCTTAGGTACCAAGATTTAACACCAGATTTTTTCAGACTGGCTGTGCTGCAGTAGATGCATTCTGCCAAGATTGGAGGCACGATAATAATTGAATTTGTCCTCCAGTGTGCCTATTAATTAGAGTGGTAAAGGACATGGAACTGTGTAAGGCGAGAAGGAACGGTTATCCTTCCCTTGTGGAGGTCCTCTTGCTTCTGGACTGTATTTTGTAGAGACGGTGTACACTGGAACAGTTTCGTAATTGACTGGGTGTTTTTACCGAAGTTCCCAGGTCTCTTCATCAAAGGGAAAGCCCGAAACTCGCTTTTCGGCTCCAGAACTTTGATGTTATAGTCCTTCGAATCGATTTTCGCCGCCCCAGATCTCCCTGCGCTTACGCAGGCTCCTGTACGAAGTTCAGTAAAGACTGTGATCGTTGTAATTAGCCCCGCAAGCGTTTGTATTTACCGCGGAAGTTTTTCTTCCGGGTGCAAATGCGATTTTGTTTCAGTCAATCCCAGCGTAATTCCTCTAAGTTCTTTGTACTTAGGTTATGGGTTGTTTGACCCTTAATCAAGCCCGAAGTGACTTAAGTCATAGTATTGCTCGTCAATATCGTGTTATGACACGAGTTTGTGTCAAGAATTTATTCAGAATTGTTTGAAATTAAAGGAACCCATTTGTGGTCCATTTTGCAGATTCCAGTTGTCTGTGTATTCTCTGTTGGAGTTTGATTATTCCCAGTTATTCTATTTTTGTTTATCTATTTATTTAGTTATTTCTTGTAGGATTGTACTTCTCACTTTACCTTATTTAATCTCTCGTTTAGATATTTTTCATTCTGGATTTTGGGAATCCCGGGACGGACCCCTTGTCGACTTGCTTGAGGGACTGAAAGATCGACTGAAGACGACTGTCTTCCAAAGCAAATGGAACCGTTGTAGTAAACAACTGTGCTTTCCGCAGATGGAAGCAGTTTGCAAACGATAAGTTAAACGGGAAAGCCTTTCTCGCTAGCCCTTTTCATGTGGCTTTGTATTTACAACATCTTATAGAGAAAACCCACTCTCCTGGCGCGGTCGATTCTGCTTTCTATGACTTAAAATGGGCCCATGACCTGGCAGGAATCCCCTCCCCAACTTATGATCCAATTGTTGAAGCTGTGAGGACGGCATCCAAAAGAGTTCTTGGTACAAGCGTCCTTAGACGTAAAGAACCTATTTCGGCCACTTCAATCCACGACGTTATTAACAAATCAGACCTAGACAATCCTGTAGAGTTGCGTAATGTTACCATGTATGTTTTATCTTTTGCCGGTTTCTTTAGGTTTGACGATGTGCCTAGAATTAGAAGAAGTGATATTTCCTTTAAAAAAGGCTTAATGGTTATTAAGGTTTTGAAAAGCAAGAATGACCAGCTCCGTAAAGGCGACGAAGTCGTTATCTCACAATTGTCTGGTTTTGCATTCCCCGTTGAGTTGCTTAAGAGGTATTTAGCTATGTTTAAGGTACCCCCTGATTCGAAAGACGTTATTTTCAAGCCCATTTCTAAAGGGAAGGGCTCTTGTAAGCTTGTTGCCCCCGATAAGCCAATTAGTTACTCTACTTTTAGAAGGCCTTTTCGCAAGGACCTGCAAAGCCTCGGAGTTGGACCGTCCAAATTTGGTTTGCATTCTCTACGATCTGAGTGGGCCACTATGGCAGCAAGTAATGGAGTCAACGACAAGGTTTTCCGACGACATGGTCGTTGGAAATCATTACAAGCCAACTGACACATACGTAGACGATAATCTTGAACAACGACTCGAAGTGTCTAGTTTTCTTGGACTCTGAGGGCGTTTTCTTGTTCTTTTTAGTGGTATAATATCACCTAGTCTCGTGCGTCTTGCCCAACTCTTTGTCAGTCTATATATGCCTCGGGTTGGTTCTCGGCAGGAAGAGGAATTTGGGGGATCACATGGTTTTCAGGGGAAGGAATGGATCAGTTGTTTCTAACAGAGTATAAAGGGGGGACTTTTGACTGTAAATGAGGGAGATCATTAGCCACAGAATACTACAGAGCATTAGGGGTTTATTATTGTGTATTATTATTGCGACACAACCAAAAGCCTCCGGTTCCTCCCTTCTCCCTCCCTCTCTCTCCCCCCCCCGGAGAAAATTATCGCAAGTAAATGAGAAAATTGCAGGTCATATCGCGGGAGTAAATGGATCACCGATCAGTAGATCGTCACTTCCAGTTCAATAATAATTGCTATCTTGATATCCCTTAATTTTACAATGTGTTCTCAGCTCAACATCTATCCAAGTAGTTGTATAAACAAACTTGCCATAACATTCTCGATGAGGATCAGCAAAATTCTTGCGACCCGACTCATTATAACGTTTTTTTCCTTTGCCCCCGAAAGCTATAATTTAAACAGATTGATATGAAATAGGACCAATATCTGTGTCTATGTAACAATTAATATTAATTTGGTTGTGGCAAAGTACCATATGGTCTACATTTCCTGTAAGTTGTAGAGAGCGGTTGTTCATCGCAATCGTTCATCGCAGTCGTGCTCAACCGAGAACTAAACATACTTTTTGAGGTATTTTCTTCAGGCCGATTTTCCATTTTAAAATTATGTCGGTTTGCAATATTCCAAAATTTCTTCCCATACACAGCCCTCTTGACAGCACTCCTCCACAACGTTGAAGCTCCTTTTAGTCACGTGATGTGAAGTAAGAAATCCATCAGCTCTTTGCTTGTCCAGGATTACTTTGCTGGCTCTTGGTTTTACTGAAAGAAAAACAAAGTAGCACTTGATGAAAAATAAAAGTTTCATATTTTGATATGGAATTAATGAAATTGTTTCGGGGCATTTTCAGGTAGGGAAGTTTTAAAATGATCGCTTATGCTGGTTACGGGATTGCTTGCTATCAATAAGCAAGATTGACTGGGTACACACTTTGTTTTTGTTATGCGAATAATTTTCCCACCAACAAACTGGTCCGTCGTCACTGAGCATTCTCCTTTGCCCTGCTCTCCAAGAAAACTCTTGGAGTTCGTAGGCGTGAGAGTTTTATTTTTGTGAGTTTCTTGGGACTTCAAGAATCGACGTGGGGGGGGCGAGAACGAATAGGAACAAGGATGGTTGACAACGAACAACGCATTTTGTCCCTCCCCACCCCCACCCCCCCTCCCATTAAACTCTGTCAAAAATTAGAGATGACTGTTCGTTCCGGCATGAAAACCACCAGTGTGCGATAAATAACTACCCAGAGATAGATGATGAATGATCCATGAATATCTTTTTTCAGTATCTTTCGTTACTTCTTTCAGTCCTGGATGCACCTCACTTCATGTGAACCATTCGCTGTTTGTGACACCAATCTTTAAAGTAGCTGTAGACTTATGAAATAAAATACCGTACCACTTCTTTTCCTTCGCATCCATCTGCATGCCACTTCATAGGCTGTTTTGAGTTGATCGCCGCAAATATGAAAGGAGATCTGCCTTCTGGGAACCTCGTTAATTTTACAGCTACTGGGTGGTGAAAGCGGGCTACAAGGAACGAAATATGCCTCGATTTGTAACGACGCGGTTAGCATCCATATTATCAATACGAAGCTTATCCAGTTTATCTACAATTGTAGAAAAAGAAGACAAAATGCTCAGTATATATTAATAGCTTCACCTCTTACAGTCTTAATAAAAAAGCCCCTGTTTGGCGCCAATCCGCTGGCTAAGGAGCTTGCGGACTCCGAGTGAAACAAAAGGTAGACTCCGACAAGCTTACCCAGGCCCCTCTCAGGTGAGGAGAAATAAGAAAGGTCATAACTAAATCGAGACTCCGCGAGGAAAGAGAAAATCATGACTACAGGGAAATGTTGCTAACTTCGATGTCGGCAAAATGACTAATTGGACCGACGAAAATCATTCACACCTTGTTAAGCAATTAAAACGAGTGGAAAGGCTCTCACTTCATATTTTTACAAAGATGAACAACTCTCGAAAAACTTTTCTCGTTGAAAACGATATCGTCCCCGGTAAATTAGGTCCTTGCCTTAAGTGAGTAGACATTTGACTGATTAAAGAGCAATAAAACCTTTTAAATTTCTCACCTTGTAGTTCATCTCGCTTGGTTCGTGTCCACAAGTGTAAGCACCAGTTCTTACTATGATGTGAAATAGTCTGTAATATCGATTACTCGCTTTTATCCTCATGGAAGTGCATGATCAACATATGTTCTCTCCACACGTGGTCAATACATTTACCGGATACAACACTACTGACATACATCAGTAAAAACAAGGATCTCTCAATCAGTCAATCATTCTAAGATAATCACATGCGCTGCACAAAGAGAAACTATTTCGATCTTTTGTGTTCTATAGCGTGAAAAAGTTATTTCTGTAAAAAAAAATGATTTCGTTATTAATTGAGACCGCGGAATCTTTTTTCGTCAAATATTACACGCACGTAAATACCTTCCTCGTAATGCTTTGCAAAATCTTAATCCAAGAGCGGTATAGGTATCGATATAATATCAATATGTGATATTACTGCAATTTATTTTTAGCACTTAATGTTTTTGCGTTATTCTGTTTGGCGAAACAAATCCTACGTCAGACATAATGAGCCTTTCAAGTATTTTCAAGATTTGTGAGATGTTTGCATGAAAAAACGACCAAAACATTTATCTAACGATTTTGGCGCTTGTTGATTCTAACTGATGGCGAGTTGATGTTGCTTTGCAAGATTAGAAAACTTCAAATTCCTTGAATTTCGGAAAGCATGATTGAAACTCAAAGCAGTCAAATATTTTTTCTCTTACATCCGGCCCTCGGTAATGTGTTCGCCTCCCATTTCTTGGGCAAGTCACTTTGCTCAAACACCCACCGTTCTCCACCCAGGAGTAATGGTAAGTGAGTACCAGCGAACCAGCAGACCATCAAGAAGGAGAGGTACCGCTCAAACATGCTACAGATAACACGATACGTTCCCGAACGAGAAGCCATTTTGGCACATGATCTGACTTACCTCCCCTAGGTGATAAGCAGATCTTCAGATTATCAAGTGCGATTAACTCGAGATTTTCCTCTCACTGGGAATAGTGCGCTAATTGCAAGTTTTCCTGTTGGAATTTAATCCAGGCTGTTTTAATTGTCCCTCATTTAACTCACCCTTGCCACTTTTCGCTTTTCGTGTGTTTCTCTTAAGGTTTTCCTTGATGTTTAAAGCATCATTGTGATATCACAACTAACTTTCTGTCTAGTTAGTTTGCTCTGACAAAGTCTGAAATAGCGCGAGACTTAAACCTGCTTAATCTAGAGTATTGAGTTAATAATCAAACACTGCACTTACAAAGGAAACCTCACAAATTGTTTATGATTTTTTGAAATAAATAAAAAAGTTATGAAGCGAGCGCATACAAAAAAATCCCATCTTGATGCGCGAAAAAAAATAATACAAAAAAAAAACCATTATAAAAGAATTAAATTCAGTTAACGATGTCGCTCAAACTTCTAATTCAATCAATATCATCATAATCGAAAAACAATTATCTCGTTAATTTTCCCTTAGGCATCTTTTTCCTTTTAGTTCCCAAACCGTTTTACGACAAAAGTCTCCTACGCGCGCAATTCGAGATCGTTTTGTCGCTTATATCAATATTCATCGCTTTCTGTGGGCCTGAGAAAATATATTGGAGTTTAGATACCGATTTCATGCCCTCTTTTATATACTGGTGCATTCATTTAGGCTGAGTCACGAATTGCGCAAAACAAAACAAGTGTGCGTAGTGGCGGTTTCCTTAGGCGTTCGAAAGAACTGAGAACGACGAAGCCGAGGAAGCGACTCTTCAGGCGGCCATGCACTTCTTGCCACTCCTCTTTAAGCTCCGCCACACGAAACTCTCACAGAACAGCCATGTACGCAAGCCAAATGCCTCAAAAAAAAATACAGTTACACTCTCAAATAATTTTTCTGCTTTACAATATAGATGGTACTCCAAAAATTATTTTAATCCTCTAAATGTGAATCACGCAGTCGAAATATTTCTCAATATAATCATGATCCAGCAAAACGTTATCGGCTGAGGGTTTTATTTTGATACGATGCTAAATTCTCCTTAAGGGATGGCAACTAGTGGGAAGAATTGCTAATCAGATATCGGGAGGTTTTGAACGTCAATGATCCAGTGACATGACATTTCCTGAGTCGACCTGTGGTCGAAGATTCAGGAGTCAGCAAGAAAATTCCTGTTAAACCACATCACTCATTCTTGAAAGAAAACTTATCTAGACTTCCAGACTCCTCAAGAGATAAATTGACATTGCGAGACCAGCGTTACTTGCCAAAAATTCCACACAATCTGTTGTTTTTAAGAAGTGTTACTAGTCAACCTTGATATTGATACGCAAATATAAATCAGCGTGTTATTCTTTTCACAATCAATGATTACTTTTTCATCAACATAACAACGAAAAGCTGTTCCCAACATCTTGAACAACGTAACAGAGACCAAGGAAAGGTAATTTACTCTCGGCGACACTGGGCAACATTGTCTGTTCGTAAATTGCTTCAAACCGGCGCGCCATTCAGTATTCTTTAATATACTATTGTGCTTCTCTATGAATAAAACCAACATCGAAATAGAACCGGGGTAACCTCAGACTTAATATTGTCCGATTTGTTGTGGACAGCCGATGCGTGATATTTGAAGTATTTCCTGCTCTGCGCGCTAAAAGCAAGATCTCAATTGCGCGGCGGTAACTAGAAATTATGGCAAAAATGATGCGGTTCGACACTCACGCCTTTTACTGAGGGGAAACGTTTCTATTTTTGAGCAAATTAAGTTTAGTAATGAACTCCTTTGTGTACTTTTAAGGCTCGTGGAATGCGTGACGGGGAAAGTGCGTCAAGTAATGTTTACTCTGAACGTTATCACCGACCTAATTCTCGGAAACAATTTTGCCTACCAGCTATACGTCTTCACCCTAAGGCAAAAATCTTTTATTGTTATAAGATGATTTGATTCGCAAGAAATTCAAGATGAGTGATTCATTTCAGTGGCCATTTGATTGTTCAGCTTTCAGAAAGAATTTGGAAGATCGCAACCCTTTTCTAGACACCTTTTATGTCCAAGGAGTGCGTGACTAGCATTGAAAGACACTTAGTGTTAGTTTAATACGAAATTAGCAATATTCGCGCAGTTCTTCGATGACACAGCCTTCTATACAGCACTCCTCTACGACAGTGTAGGACCTACGGAATCTTCCAGTTGACGATAGGAAATCCGAAGCTCTTCTTTTTTCCCAGACTAAGTCACGTGCTGCGAAATAAAAATGATTGGCCAAACTGATTTAAAGAAAAAGAACCCATATCATTTTTATACACACCCTTGAAAGTTTTAAATACTAAATATTAGCCACATTGCCAGACTCAGAAAAACAACCTGAAAGTTTAAAAATAGTCTCGAATGACAAACAAATATACAAGCCAGTAAGTCATAGTGTTTTAAAAGCGTAAAAATCTTTTGGTAAAGTTCAAAATATAATTAAAAATCAACAGAAAACCCGTACTAGAATAAGCTTTGTGTTTGTTACAGATTTCTATGAAAGTTTTACTGAATTAAAGTTCGCTCATTTTGGGATACAGCGCCTGTTTCTTATGCTTTACCTTGGAATTTTGCGCGAGAAATGGGCTCCATGGGTGGCCAAAAATTGATCCCCTCGCAATTTTCCCTTGCGCATGCCTGATGTATGCCGCCATCTTTTAATCGTGCTCAGTAACCTTGCCACTTATTATTGACGACGTAACAAAGACTCATCTCCCGACGACTTGCCTGTACTAAACAAATGGGCGTTCTTGACACTTGCAATAGCGAAAACAGCCACTGTTTATGAAGCATGCGTTGTGGTTTTGGGTTTGGTGCCAGATCACTGAGATGTTTAAAAATGGAGGCGTCTATAGTTTACGTACCAACATTTTTACATAAGATCAATTTTAAATAAGGTTTAGGTTTTAGGTTTTAGGTTTACAAACAGAATGTTTCATGGTTAGTTATATCTTTTTTTGTTTCTAAGTTGCACTGAATTTGGTCAGAAGTAGGTAGTCACACTTAGGTTCATCTATTGTTTCATTATACGTTTATAGCTCAGCCGTTTATTGCAATATCTTACCATCTCTCATTTCTCTTGCGTGTATTCCGCAGATCTGTTTAAAGGCTGACACAATTTGATCTCCGCAAACTTGAAATGAAATGGGTCTTCGAGGAATCTCGTTGACTTTGCAGTTTTCGACGCAAGGTACAGACTGTTTCGAATCTGAGCCCGCAGTCAAGATACTCATGCACAATATGATGGTTATTCTATATGACAGAAGAGTTGTCATCTGAAATGAAACCAAAAAATAAGAAACAGTTTATAAAAAAGGAGAGAGAGCATCAAAGTGCACATTCATGATGTACGTTGGATCATTTTCTTTAGGTCAAAGTTGTCACTTCATGCTTAACCCTTTAAACCGCCTTAGAGTGACCAGCATCTAATTTCTCCCTACAATAATACAGCTGAATTATTCATTAAGATCATGAGAATAAAGAAAATGATCGCAAACCTAAAAATCTGTGATTATTAAACGAATTCTCCTTGTCAGTACCAAAGGAAATGTCTGGAGAAGGGTATGGAGAACAGGGATATTGATTTTAGGGTGTAAAGGGTTAACGGATCAATATCAGTATCTGGGCAACTGCCCACCTACCCCTCCCCTAACCCAACAACTGTCTATTGATAACAAGTTAGGGTTAATGTTGGGTTAGGGGAGGGGTAGGTGGGCAGTTGCCCAGAACTTGTTATTGATCCGGGTTAACTTCCTGGATCTCTCCTCCCCTCCTTGGTCTTCCTAGAGGGTCTCAATGGGGTAAACTGATAGCTATGAAATGGCCAAAAAACGTTAGGCGTAAAAATTGGCAAATTGCAACCGTAAGTTGTAAAATAACTGATAAAATTGCTGGTGACAACGTTAGCCGTAAAATCTATCACCCCATTGAGACTCTCTTCCTTTTAAACCGAGGGAAATTAAAAATTGAATCGGATAAAATTGAACCCCTGCATCATGACACTTTCTTGACGATAGATACAAAAATTATGCAAATTTGAGGTCATTTGAAAAACAGTCTTTTTTTCTAGACAGTGAAGTGCCAATTGAATAAAACATTTCCTATCTACCAGACACAACTACTGAATACAATTAAAAGAGAAGAAAATGGCAAAATATTCGTGTATAAACCAATGTAGACCATTGAAATAAAAATTTAGTTGTTTTGTTGTTCGGTTGAGGGTAGATTGTACAACTCATCATAGCTTTTCACAACTAAATAAAACAGCTAAGACCGCCATTTCTCTGCTTTTTTTTTTACCATTCTTGACTACATTTATAACAATTTTCCAACATCCATTGTTTCTCTTACTTGTAGAAACTCCTTTCATGGATAGAGATTAAAAGGAATATTAACAATGACGGCAAGAATAATGTAAGGAAGCCATAATCACTTACGAAATGGATCAGTAATGTTGTAACCTCAGCGTCAAAAGTTTTCAGTCCACTTTGGAACGAATTAGAAACAGCGAGTGATCATTAAAATATTCAACAGTACCTTGTTTTGAGTATTTCCACTATTTCTCTGTTTATGCGTCTTCTGAATATATGAAAGTGTAAAATATGACGCAAAAAATAAATTTATCCCACAAAACTGGTTTTGAGTCGATTTGAGAGGAATAGGTCGCCTGTCCGATTCTTTTCAATAATAAGACCGTTATGACTTTTATTACGCTGGCTATTGTCGTTGAATAATTCTTTATTGACCAGCTCTTTATAAAACATTCATTAATTTGCCTTTTTATTAGGTATAAGTTGACATGATAAGTTGACATGATTTTCATTTATTATTTAATCAGCTACTCGTTGACGTGTATTTAATTTGACCAAGGTCAGTTCCCTTCTTTTTTTTTTCGATATGTTTTTAAAATATTACCTCATCTGAGCCCGATCGCAGAAAATATAGCTTTCAGCGGCTTACATTTTCCCAGTTTATGTGAAAATGTCATCGATAAGGACTCCATCAGCAGTTAGACAACATGGTCCGGTTATTTACAAGAGCCCAAACCCAAACCACGGTTATGCACAATCAGTGAGCCTCAGGGATTCTCTAGAAGAAGATTTATTTAATTACATAAATTTCCTTCCGCTGTCAGCTTTCGGTCCCCTTCACGCTGTTCACGCAAATAAATAAACGTTTTTAGTTTTAAACAACGACTAAAATTTAATCAAACAATCAGACCCATAATTTTGCTCGCTGAAAGACGAGTTCCATCACGTGACAGTCATATTTTGGGTTTTCCATATCTATTCAGTAGTAATGGTATGGATCATTTTATCATATGCTTTTTAATATGCAAGTTTGAGCAGTACTTAATGCAAGTCTCGCTGTTCCATTTTTTTTTTTTTCCACCGCGAACTACTATACATTAACCCACGTATGCAATATTTTTAAGGATTTTGCAGACCTTGCTCGACTCGAAAAACTTTGTTTGCGCAGCTGAAAATACACCGAAAAACAAGACATTTGAGAAAATTATACTAAATTTAGTTTAACTCGAGGAAAGAGTTAACTTGTACACCAACAAAACATTGGTCCGAAAACTGTTCAAAATATTTACCAAACACCTAAGAACAACTGGACAAATTTAGTTCAACTTTTTGTTTTTGTTCTATTTATGGAGGAAAATTTCCTCGTTGCTCATAGTTCATAGATAAAAGATTCAGTCATATTATCGCGTCTGAATTCACGTTTAACTAGAAAAGCAAACACACAAACAGCGTTTATTTCGATCAAAAGAGGTTGCACTCTTTACGGCAAGGAAGTCCTAATCGAAGAGGGGACACATACAATTTTTTAACTAAACTACTCCTTGTTAATCTTCCTGTTAATTAGACAACAAACTAATAAGCTAAACTTCAGGGAATTAGGTTTGCTGAGGTTTTTAAGACTACGTGTTCCTGACTATCGTGTACCACAGGGTAACCAAGCGTACGTGATTTCATTTGATAAAAAAACAACCTTGGCGGAAGATGCCAACATGTTCATACGCTGCCCTAGAGGTCACATCGTGCAACAAATAGAATCAGACCTCAGCTCTAAATATGTCACACATAATTGAAAAGTACTTAAGCTCCTTGGTTTTGCTTAAAGCAAGTTAGATGAAACTATTGAGGAAGCGATTCAGAACCAACGGAAAAACTGAAGTGAATTTGAGCTGAGGTTTCTAGGAACACAACAACATTGAACCAGTAAAAACAACTACGCGGCCACAGTATGACCAACATCTAGCTAGCTGACGATGATCGGAAACAATCGAGTCGTTAGTTTCCTCGTGAGGATCAAGGTGTGTAAACAAATTTCTGTTTCATATTTGTTGACTTAAACTGTAAAAGATATATGGATTTCGTTCATTGTAATTTTGTTTTGTAAACGTGTCCTGACGTTCGATGTGTTTAGAGCTGAAGATCTATCAATTTGTCAGTGAATGTAAATTTGTAAAATTTAAAACTCAAAATGAATTTAAAAAAGAAACGACGTTTTCAAGTTGTCGAATGCTTCCGTTTTACTCCTGGAAACCGCCGGAAAGCCGAAAATTCCAGGAAAGAGACCTAGCTTTGAAGAGAGCGGACCACTTATGATACACCAGCAAGAATTTCGTTTTTTTCAAAAAATGTTAAGGCTTAAAAAGACTGTGAGGGCTCATTTTGTTCTCTTGTAATGCTGAAAATGCTTCAATAACTTCTTCAAGCCTCAAGCACCGAGAAGACAAGAACAACTGTGTCAGAAACTAAGGAGGAAACTGGGTTTCCACCGACTATTTTTTCCACGAATTGTCCTTTCCAGTCGGCGATCTTCCGCTCCGGAGGATAAATTCTTTGAAGAACGAGCTGGAGTAGGGAAAACCTGTCAAAGATTGACAATTTTTCAGCAAACTACTTTGCATGATTTGTATTGATATTCAATAGAGTTAGATAGTTCAATCACTGTACTGCTAATTCAAAAAAAGGAAAAAAGAGGCCGGGCTCAGAGGGATTTCGACTTGATTCTGACACACCGTCAATTTCGCGGATATCTTCGATTTCCTGCGAAGAAAACTCTCTGCCAATGAATATGCTTTCAAATCTGTGCAGAGCTTTGTTATGGTTGGTGAGTACAACCAGTGCAAATTATGCTAATCGAAACTGAATAAATAACATAATGTTTTGAAAAGCCGGGTCTATTCGGACGTGAGAATTTTTTTAATGCGTAATTTTTTTTATGCGTAATTACACCCGTTTCGGTTTCTAATCTAAAAATAATGATAACGTATAAGGCAAATTTTTGGAAGTATGACTTCCTTCCGATTTCCTTGCAATGATTACCGCTGGAGAGAGGTTATGTTATTTCTTTCGAAATATTGAAATGAAAGCCGGATCTCCCGGAAGTACAACAATTGCGATTAAGACGGGAAACTGGACACTACAATCATCGTGATGAATCAAGGTGTCAGAGACAGATAAGTTTCTCAAGAAAAAGTTAATTATGGAAACTTTTCACGTTTCAATGGGTTTTAAAACGCCATAAGATGCGAAGAAGAAACTTACAGATGGATTGGTGACCTTTCAAACCGAAGTATTTACTAAGTTTACCATGTTTCGGTTGAAGAAAAAGGTGAGAGTTGTTCTTACAATGCTGAGACGCGTCCGTTTCGTTATTTTTATCCATCTCTCATTATAAGTTTAATTTAGATCACTATTAGTCCATCTAATATCTCTAAGATCACTGTTTGCCTTTCGTTATACCGAAGACTGATATTGCTCCTCAAAACATGTCCTTGTCATGCGTGGTCGAACAGAAAGAAATATGGTGCATTTTTATAAATATAGGTTGCTCTTTCTTGCCCAACTGAGCCCCTAAGAAGACATGTTCATGCACCTCACGCGCAAGTTTATAACATTTGACCTCCTCAGTTGATATTAAACGCGCATAGGCCGATGGAAGACGGACTATGTTATGTTGTGTTAAGTTTCATTTGAAATCGTGTTCACGCTGTTGTGAAATCCTGTCAAATCTGTGTTCGCTGCAGAACAGAAGGATTTTAATCCACACGTTGTTTGCGAGAACTGCAATTCACTAGTCATGAATAATACAGGAATTTAATTCTTAGCGAATTAACAACTACAAAGAACATTTTCACTTTCATAAATTGAGAATTGAATGTCCACATTTCATAGTTAATTTTAATGACTGTGTCATCGACGTGAAATCTGAAGTGATTTTCGAACTTTAACCACGACACAACACGTTGTGGTTTGACAGATCTTTTCCCGTCTGTCACAGGCAAAAAATTATTTTCCTGAGAGTCCCCTGAGACTCTGCTGAATGTCTCCATGTTTCTTACATGCATTGGTTGTGACATTTCCAGTTTTCAGAGTGTTGACATAACTTGACATGTGGTCACCCAAAGGCATGAACTGTGGGCAAAACTTTGGAAGCCAAAAGGAAACCTACATGTATATAGACCTTGTTCTTGTGCAACTGTGTCTTCTTTGAACAAATTGCTTGGCTGTGAAAACGCTATGGGCTAATTTCAAATTTTGGACTAAAGACTCCTGAGATACCAAACTAAAAAAAAGGACATTAGGGAATTCCATTATATCCAACTGGTCCCCTGCAATGGCTTCCAATGTAACCCTTTTCACTTTATTTTGATAATCAAACTTGACAGCAAGATTGCAAAGCAACCAATTAGAATATCAAATAATCTCCACCTAGTTTTGATGAGAAACCCCTTGAGGATTTAAATTTTGATCAAGGTTCATTTGTGTAGTCAGATTTGATACCCAATTAATTTGCTCAAAGTAAATCTTCCACTTTGACTTCTTGCACCTCATTTAGTTTACGTCTAGATCAAAATGAAATGAACTAAATTCTGCTAAATGGTGCATTTCATAACCTTGCTATTAATTTTTATATAGTTTATAGTGGTCCTGTTCAAATAATGCATTAACAATTTTTTTTTGCAAAGTGATGATCTTGTCATCAAATGTCAGAGGTCTTCCCAAAAAGTTTGAAGATCCTTAAAGATCTTGGCAAGAAAATTGAAGATCTTGGAAAGAAAATAAAAGACCCTTGGAGATCTTGGCAAGAAAATAAAAGATCTTTGAAGATCTTTACAAGAAATAGAAAGATCCTCGAAGATTTTAAAATAAAGTCAAAACAGCACATCATATAGTACAGGATTGGAAAGAATTGATCAATTAGATCACTCTTAACAGCCTGAAAATCTGAAAAGTCTTGACATAGATCACCTAGATATCACACCATTCTTACAAGCAATAACAATGATTGAAGTGTGATGGCTACAGTCACTGTGATAACTCTCTGTCATAAGATCCTGTTAGAGACTTGATCTCAAAAAAAGGAGGCATAATCCTCATGTGCTTTTTAACATACTGTGAGGGTCTCCCAGAAAAAGAATTTATCCAAGGATCTGCTGGATGACAGTTTGGTAAATCTTCCACTAAAAAGTACATTTGGTTAACTGAAAGGTTTGAGATTTTCTTTGGTCAATGGTGAAAATGAAAGGTTTTTTGCAGAAACAACAAGAGAGTGCTTCCCTTATTAGAAAAACTCACTTATGAAAGAAAAATTGGCAATCAAGCGATATTGCCCCATAATATTTTTGAGAACAAAAAACAATAACAAAAGTCTTTACAATTTAATTTTGTATCTAATATAATTATATACTGGTAAGTGGCAATTGTCCTTGCCTGAGGGTAGCCAGTGCTAGTCAATGGTGAGGCAGTCTACCAAAATCTAATCAGTCAGTTATGAATACATGCTGGGATAACTTGTTTATTTGTTATGCCTATTTTCCTGGCTGGGGATCTGCAGAATGAAGTATCCAGATGTGTTAGTACATAGAAAATGCAAGTGAGACCAGGAGAAGAAAAATTCAGTGGCCTATAACTTGACCCACAAATATTCCTTTTGTCCCACCAAACAAACTCTACAAGTATTATGTAAGGTCTAGTGAAACTGATGCTGTTGTTTGACAAATGTTAACAGGACAAGAAGGGTGACTCAAACCCACCTGTCAGCCCTGGCCACCACATTATTCCACCAGAAGACCTAAATGCTTTGAGAAAACTTGGCGAAGGGCAGTATGGTGTTGTGGAACTGGGAGAGTGGAAACCACCAAATGCAAAAGATAAGGTACAGTTGTAACTATACTATTGAAAAAACAGGGGTTGTGTAGCATCTCAGTTCTTTCAAAAACAAGTATGGAAATTTGCAAACTAATATCAAGAGCTCCTAAAAGTATTTGTAGTAAAGTGTTGGCTCTGGCTAAGAGAGTTAGATCTAGCACACTAAGCAAAGGCTTACTGATGATAAGATGCAAAAAGACAAATCTTTTTTATTATTATTATTTATTATTATCATTATTATTCCTTTTTTTCGCTTTTAAGAACTCCTCTAGGAGTGAACAGATCCAGGATTTTTCTTAGGAGGGGGTGCATTTCTTTGGCATGACGTAATTGATTGTGGACATAAACAAATCTTAAAAGGGAGCAAGTATGAAGCAAACAGCTTACGACTAGGCAATAACATGATAAGAACTGCTGAGAATACATACAATAGCTAACAATGTAGCAGATTTTTTATGACCTTGAGCTTACATTAGAAAGCAGCCAGTCATCTTAGGGGCAGGGAGGATGTGCACCTCCTGCACCCCTCCCCGAGATCCACTGCGATCTGCAACCCAACATGTGACAAGAATCTAGTAAAATTCAGCACTCATTTCAAGTAGCTCGTATCACTGGTCAGCCAGAAGCCCTTTGAGGGTCAAGCTCTCTCCCTGGGTGGAGATGGGCAACATGAGAGTGAAGTATCAAAATACACAATATTACTCAATATCAGCCAGGTCTTAAACCCTTGCTTCTCAACTTAGCATTTGGCATGCTAATCAGTTGGTTACTGAACTTTATACAGAATTTAGGAACTCTTTCAAAGGAGGAAAGCCAAAACAAGAAATCAGAAAAGTGATAAAACTAGAAATCATGGTTTAGTACAATCAATTTGTTTTGTAGGTGCATGTATAGGAGAACTACCTGAGTGTCAAGCTTTAACTCTATTTACATGACTTGCCTTTCCTGTTTCACATATTAATTCATGTATATCAGATGCAGACAAGTCTATCTTATCATTTGAATAAGGGGGGTAAGTTTCTAATGAAACTGTGGTGCTGTGTTGGTGGGAGAGTATAACAGGGTAATTTATAGTGTTGCATTATCAACTGAGTTTGCTTGATAACATAAATTGGCTACTGCAAAGAGTTAAAAGCTGACGTTTCAAGTGGTGGCCCTTTGCTAGAGTGTGGCAGTCAATTGCTCTGACAAAGCACTACACTTGAAACATCAGCTTTTAACCTTTTACTGTAATTTCCGGCCATTTATCCACAGGTAATCTGTTGATTTTGCATTAACATGTGCCACTGTGGGTAATAGGGAGGTGTAGGTTATGTGAGAATTTTAAAATCTACTGGTAGTTGAATTGAAAAACAATTCTCACCCGTATGCACCTCACCTCTCAAATGAATTTTATTGCATTAAGAGTGCCACAAAGTGGCACAAAAACATGATGCTGACACTAGTTTATTTCACGCATAATTAGTTGCGTGACAAACAAATTGTTATTAGCACATGTGTAAACAAGACCTTGATGGTGATAAAAATAATCCAAAGATATCCAGTGCATCAGTAACAAATTTCCATTTAACACTAGCTTAAGCTAAAGAGAATTTTCCAGTTTTAAGAGACTTGTTAGGCCAATAGAACCAGAGATATCTATTTTTTTTCAGAAATTGCCAACAGTTCTTTACAATTCAAGTTTTAACACTCACTTAGCTTTCTTTCAACAAATCAACATGGCGCTGAATAATCGCTCACACAAAATGTGGCCACAAATTCACATTCTGTCAAGTATGAAATGTTGAGATTTGGGCATGGGCCGCTAGTGTTTTTACTGTTTAATTTTATCAATAAAGTACATGCTAATATTGACACCGAATTGTGCATGCATCTGAATTTCTTTGCCCTTTAAACTTGACAAAGAAGCTTTCAAGTTTTCAAAAGTTAGATCAGACAACTTTAAAAAGACTGAAATGATCACCTTAATGTCACGTTTTCACCACCAAAAAGTTGAATAACATAACATGTGGGTTATCCACCAGTGCAGGTAATCTGTTGACTCTTTTTTTTGCCAAATGCAATAATCTGCCGGTGTGGGTAATCAGCCATGCATGGAAATTATGGTAACTCCTGTGAGTGACCAAGACAGAATTTCTCCTCACAATATCAATACAATATCAAGTAGACAAGTGGCAAGAATAAAGAAAAAGATCAATTAGGGGATTATTTGTCGATTGAATACCATATTCTCCAAACTAACATTACAAAGAACTGTATGGCAGACAGTGAGGAGAATTGCTAACAAGTTTGTGGGGTTAAAGGGTTAACTCTTTATAGTGGCCAATTTACATTAACTTAGTTGATAATACTAAATTATCTTGTCACATGACCTAGTATGGTATTATAAAAGACTATATAAAGAATCCTTGTACGCAGCCATACATGATGGTGCTTGCAGGGTCCAAAAAAAAAACTGTCTGGCCCTGTGACATGCAAGTTGGAAGAAGAGAGGGGGAAGAGAAAGAGTGGTCATGTGATATAATGTCTGTTGAATGAGTTAGGTTGGTTACATGACAAAACAGGGTAATTTAGTATTACCAACTGAGTTGATTGTAAACTGGTTATTGTTAAGAGTTTAAAAGCTGACATTTCACACATTAGCCCTTTGTCAGAGCAATTGGAGGAATAGTAGGTTCTTTGTAGATTTATATGCAGAGTTTAGCTCTGCCCAGGTTAGGTCTGGCTAGTCATTAAGTATGAACCTCACTGTGCTTATACCTAAACTCACTCGACCTTGAGCCCAACAATTTCCTATCCGGCCATCTCACTCAGTCAATTACATGGAGTTCATGATAATCATGATTACTATTTGGAATTTTTTTACCAGATACTTGTGGCAATCAAATCCATCAAGGATACTGGTGAAGAGCAGCTGAGAGAGGTTCTAATGGAAGTAAATACCATGCAACGACTCTCTCATGATAACATTGTTAAATTGTTTGGTGTTACTCTTCCCACAAGAGATTCGGATCAACTAAAGCTGGTAATATTCTGTTTTCACTTAGTCATTTCTCTTGTGCCAGTTGGTGTTATCAAGTTGAATATCATCAACTTCTGTCTTATGGTAATCAAAGCCATTGCAAAATTTTGAATTTAATTGGTTAATAACAAGTTTCATTTCAAATTTTTCTTCCTCCAGACCGAGTGCCATTACTGAAATTAGATGAACCATCAGAGTTAAACTGTTGGTATATTAAGCACTATGCCCCCCTCCCCCTCCTCCTCCTCCTCCCCCCCCCAAAAAAAAAAGAAGAAAAAAAAAGGTTTCCCATATTTGAGATTAATCTATAAAAAATTATTTATTTAATGCACAAAATACATACAACTCTATCTAAAACAAGCTCAGAAATACAATTCCTCAACAAAAAGTTGGATAAACAATACTTTTTTTCCTTCTTTTTAATAAAACTTAGACTTGAATCTGAAACAGAACAATTAAGTTCTGGGATTGAAAGCAAGCTGCACACTTTCCCACCAGAATTAGACAGTGAATGACAATTTTTGCTAGTTTCTGTTCTATTGTGAGCAATTCCTTGTTATGATTTCTTTTTGAAATATGATTTAAGGATAACTCCCACTCCCAAGTTAGAGGCTGAACTATGACCAACGAAAAAAAAAAAAATATATATATATATAATTATATCTGCCAAAGTGCTCCATCAAGTAATTATGGTTATGTTTTTGTACAGATAACAGAATTTGCTGCTTATGGTTCTCTGGAAGAAAACCTCAAGAAGAACGAAATAGAGATATGCCAGGTGTCCTCATTTTGTAAATTTGCCATGCAAGTAGCAAACGGAATGAGCTACCTGGCCAACCAGAATTTAGTCCACCGTGATTTGTCTGCAAGAAATATTCTTGTTTTTGAACCAGCTTTGGTAAGTACAGTTTTTTTATGGGAACATATTTCCACATGTCTGGGAAGGTATTAGAAAGAGCCAACATCAGAGACATAATTTGGTCCAAAAAAGATACACTTTGATACATATGTTTGTTGTGCTTAATTATGCTTTCAGAGTTTGTGTAGATTTAATGGGAAACTTAAGCTATTAGGATAACTTGTTAATGCGTTACGCCTAGTTTTCTGGCTGGGGACCTGCAGTCAATGAAGTATCCAGATGTGATAGTAAATAGGAAATGCACAGTGAGGCCAGACCATGATTTTTGGACCCAAGAAAAATTTTAATGGACTATAACTTTACTTAAGAAACTTCCTTTCTTCCCACAAAACAAAAGTCTCCAAGTAGTATGTATTAGGTCTTGTGAAGTTGATGTTGTTGTCTAAAGTGAAATTGATAACCCTAGATCATGCTTTTGGTCAACTCCTCCGAAAATTGGTCACCAAAGTTGTGTAACTGGGGCAAAAAGACAAAGGTGGTCAAAGAAATAGGATCAAGTGTCTTTATTTTTTCTTATAAGACGAGAGATCTCAAGCATTCTTTAAACTCACACTGGCTATCTAGTGTGGGTTCCTAGTGATAGTGACCCCCTTTGAAGTCCACCCAGACAAAGTTTGTTTCCTCTTGTAAAGAAGTTGTTAAATTAGCATGTTATTTGTCACACTATTTTTCTTTCATAATACATAATCTGAATTGGGAAAATTTCTCTTTTTTTTTTTTTTTTTTTTTTTCATAGCACAACCTATCAGAATGCCTGATATGTACTGTTACCTTTACATGTACATGTAGACATATACCCATCCTGGCATTTTCTGTCAGGTTCCCAAGTAATTTATTGTTTCTTTTAAATGTAGTCAGGTGTGGAATAACATTGTGAATAATGAGGCCTCACAAATTTTGTTTTACAGGTGAAGATAAGTGACTTTGGATTAGCTCGCTCACTAGAAGGAGGAGCTTCTGCACAGATCACAGTTGACAGAAAAATGGCAGTTGCTTGGTAAGAAGATTTCTGTTCTTTGGCTGAAATTGTTCAAAAAGTATCTTGTTATTTATGTTAAAATTGTCCACAACCTTTAGGCTCTTTTTTTCTGTTTGTTCAAGAAGGAAGACAGCTTATTCTTGGAAGTAGAAAGGGTAAAAGATCACCTAACAGCAAGCAGCTACGGCTGCTGCGGCTTGTAGTCAAAATTGCTTCCATGAGGCAGATAATGGGCTAATTTAGTCAAAGCTCATATTTTTTTTAAATATTACTTAATTTGTTGATTTAATTTCAGATAATTTTTAGATAGGATTATTGGAGATGACGGGTGGGTGGGGGCTTATTTTTAAGCTGTTGTCAATGACCATCTAGTCAGTTCAAAACATGAAATTATTCCCTCAGTGTGTGTTTGGTACAAACTGATAGCAGGCCTTTCCCTTTCCTTTTATCCACGTGGGAGAAACTTTAGCATTCAGCTGAGTGAAAGCAAGATTGTGAGATTTTGATGCCATAACTAGCAAAAGAAAGGGACGAGCCAGAGGAGAGGAGCAGGCCCCTCACCACCCCTCCCCTCCCCTCGTCCTATGCCTTTCACCCTTCTTCTGCTCAAAAAGGAAAAGGACTCTAACACAGACTATGATCATAATTTTGATGGATCTTGCGATATTGTTGATTATTTTTTTACCTTGGTAAGTTTCTAAACTGGAATATGTCAGTGTTGAATATTGACACTGAATATTGACGTTTTATTTTCCTTTATATTTTTTAATTTTTTTTTTTTTCAGGTTACCACCAGAGTCCATAAAGGAGAATCAGTTTATACTTCCAAGTGATGTGTGGAGTTATGGGATCACTCTGTGGGAAATGTTTTCCTTTGGTCAAACCCCTTGGGCTGAAATGTCCCTTCTACAGGTATGACCAAGACTTAAAGCAAGATGTTACTTTACAGTGTGTCTGTATTAAACAAAGTGTTAGCAAATGACTGCAGGTTTACTCTTTATCTAAAACCTGAGAAAGTTTCCACTGCTGAAATTTTTTCTTTCTTTTTTTTTTCTTTCCACACAAATATACTCTCCAAATTTTGTATAAGAAAAACAACCAAATTGACTATTTTACACTCTTACCTAATAGAAGTAGTAGTTGTTGTTGTTGTTTAAAATGACTTTTTAGTTTATCCCTAACACCTCAATATTGTTATGTATATATCCTCCATTAATTGTTCTTTATACAGTTCTTGTGGCACTGACAAGGAAAATTATTTTTTGTTGAAACTCAAGAGCTTTTCAAATCTGTGACCCTAATGTTTAGTTCATCAGTGATACCTTAGTGAGAAATTAGATGCTAGTCACCCTCACGGGTAAAGATGAATTCTTGCATCGTTTGTGTTTTCGCTGTGTTCAAGGTTTATTATAGTGATGGTGGAATACAGGAAATACGACAAAATTTCGATTTATTTTGACCCAAGGTTCAATAAAAAGGAATATAGGAAATACGACAAAGTTTCGATTTATTTTGACCCAAGGTTCAATAAAAAGGAATATAGGAAATACGACAAAGTTTCGATTTATTTTGACTCGAGGTTCAATAAAAAGGAATATAGGAATACGACAAAGTTTCGATTTATTTTGACCCGAGGTTCAATAAAAAAGAAGATAGGAAATACGACAAAGTTTCGATTTATTTTGACCCGAGGTTCAATAAAAAGGAATATAGGAAATACGACAAAGTTTCGATTTATTTTGACCCGAGGTCCAATGAAACATAAATTTTGTGATTGTCATCTCTTACATGTTTTAATGTACGTGCAAGCCATTTTGTGTTATGAACTTATCCCTAAAAGAGCTAAATAAAATGGTCATGAAAAAGGTCTATTAACCATTGAATGCTCTTGTTCGTGTTGGATTTCTCTAAGATCAAGATGATGCTTGTAAATGAGCCAGACAAACAACTTCTAAAACCCGATGCATGTCCAGATGGTTTTTATGACGTCATGTTAAGCTGTTGGAAGCGTGATGCTGAAGAAAGACCGAGTTTTGAAGAAATTTACAACATCATATCGAAAGTGAGCTGATTATTTTTACCCACTTAAAAAGATCAGCCTTGCAGACTTGAAGTGAAAGTAGACCCATGTTAATCGTATACCTTGTATTTAGCGGGCAGAACTTAAGTCTAATCTCCTTTGCAGCTGCTCTACGGGCTGTCACGCAACCCTTTAAGGTTCTACGTGATATCCCAAAGAAGTTTTGTTATCTTGGTGAAAGGACACAGTTATTTCGCCTGTAGACTATGTTATAATACATACTTATTAAGGGTTATCGACAACGGCTTAGAGAAAATCGAGTTCCACCTTTCCGTTTTGGCAAGAAACTCTGATATTTTCTTTTCTTAGAGCATATAGCAAGACAAAAGTATGAGCAACAACTTTCGGAATGCTGCCATTTCTTTTCAAACTCAACTCTTTCTCCCAAAATCTTAGTTCCAGCCTAAGGAGGCAATAACAAAAACCTCGCACCACACCAAGGAGGAGGGCCATCTCAGTTACAAGAATAAAGTGAAAGTGACTATCATCAGAAGGTAAAAAAGGAAAAAGATTTGAGATAATTTTTTTGAGTACTGGCAGGTGACACATGTGAAGAAACAAACATTCGATCCAACACTAACGGTCACCTCCCCACAAGGGAAGGCCCCTGACTTGTGTGTAGTCTTCTCTCTGATTTTGACAGTGAAAGCGCGCGAGAGGTGCGGGCTGGGAAGATGGGAAGGGAGGAAAGTAGTACTAGTCTTTCTCGACCCCGCAGCGGCGTATTTAAGTAAGAAATGACTAGGGACGAGTCAGAGACACCTACCACCCCCGTTAGGCTTTATTGAAAACCTATAAAAATGAATGAAGCCTATGTTTTAGAGATCAGTGAAAAGGGTTTCATATCCAGAGATCTTAAAAATGCACCTATCTTACCCAGCAAAACCCATGAATGTACCTCCCAGTGGCTCTCACTCTATTTCAATTGATTGGTCATGCATCAGAATATCATAAACAGACGCAAAAGTTAGAACCCGCAGCGCACGGCCACCGTGTAGAGCCCAATTGCGTGTGTACTTTTTAAACTGGGATTGGTTTTTTTAAGTTGCAGACTCTTTTTATTGTACTCTCTGATTGTATTTACAGAGGAAGGGGAGGTATGTGTTATGTTCAAAGTGAATGCGGTAAAACAGGGCTGGTGCATGAGAAGAACTTGGACTTCACCAAAAAAGCCCTGCAAAAACATGCAAGGTATGGTAGTGCCTATGGTTGGCTTTTATTAACCCTTTGACCCCATAGATTGACTAATATCTAATTTCTCCTTACATTATCACTCGTAAATCACACATTTAGGTCACAAGAATAAAGGATATGATCAGCAACTAAAGAAGCTCTTGATTAAAACGCAAATTCTTCTTGTCAGCATGTTGGGAAATCTATAGAGAACAGTATGGAGAATATGCTTACTGATTTTAGTGTGTAAAGAGCTAAAAAGTCTTGAATAGACGATTTTATTCAGTAGTGAAACCAGATTAGTGATCAGACTGAACTGACTCAAAGTAGTGTACTGAATCACCGGTTATCTGTTCGAGAGATGCTTTTCCATTCGCGGATTAACCAGTGTCGTTGAAAATATATACATATAGCCTTCTTGAGTAGCTCACTTAAGCTAGTGTTCGGAAGAAACTACGGTAGGAAACATATCAACAATCACAAAAAAAAAAGTACAAACTGAACCAAGCGGAGACTTGATCTTGTGCACGTTGCGGGTTAATGTGCATTCGTGTCAATTAGGAGAAAAACGTGGATTAAACTTCAGGTGCGACTGCTCTCAACACGGGAAAATGAAGTACTGTTTCAAAACCGAGTGCGAGGGTTTCATTAGGGTTTCCAAACACGAGAAAACTGATAGAGCACGAGGCTGCAAGCCGAGTGTTTTTACTGTTTTCGAGTGTTTGGAAACCCTGACGAAACCACATGCACGTGACGAAATTGGCGTGTCTTGGTTGGATGATCACCTTACGAATAATTAATGAGTTTGAGGAAAAGCAATCAAATGTTGAGTCTTTTTTGTCTGTTCATTTTTAAAAGGTTTGCCAAGGCAAACCTACTAGTTCTGTCAGTGACTAGTCAAAGAGTTTTCCATGCTAACAAGTCAAGTCTTATTTTTTCCCAAACAGTAACAATCCAACGAGTAACATCGGGCGACCATTTAACATTTCAAGAAAAAGCTCCCAAAAGGGGTTGAGCCAGTTGCAAAAGTAAGTTCAAACGTTGATTCTTTTTTGTTATTAAACTAACTTAGCTCGATTATCACGGACATTCGTATGTGCTAAGAGAACAATTCAAACATGACTCTAGACTTTTGGGCACTCTGAGAGAAGCCACGTGATCTCTGCGATGTATCCCTATAAAACTCCTTCCCCGAGGCGTGGTTTGAGTTCGAGTTACTAAATTCACTAGCAACGAAAGGTAGATCAGGGTAGATAAGGTATCATAGATAATGTAGAATAGCTGACTTCGAGCGTAAGTCCTTTTTCGGAGTAAGTTCTACTTTTCCCACCAAACAACCACAAGAATTTCTTCAGGAACTAACAACTGTGCTAAATACCTATTACTAACACATGAACACAGTTCCACCCCCTCTTGCGCCAATTTTCTTTCGGCGATCGCACCAGAAATTACCCATTTTAAAGATACATTTTTTGTTTACTTTTTTCTTTTTTGTTGTTTTTGTTTTTGTTTTTTTTTTTTGCTACAGAGGTGCCGACGCCACTCCTGGGAAAACGATCGTTGAGGTTGTAGAGGACAAAGGCGTTAAAAATTTGATGGGTAAGTCTAAAAATTGTGCACAGTAGGTCACAAATTGAGTCAATGCACTTCCTTTAGAATTTGTAGAGTTAAGGAAAAACTAACGTTTCAATCAATTTTTTTTTGTAATCTATTGTGCGTTTTGACCTTTAGTGACCTGCGGCTACAGAAGGTTTATTCATACTGAGGTCAATCAACTTACTTTTCACCATTTTCTCGTTTCTTATCAAATCCACATCTTACTAGTACGATTGTCGATAGAGTGTTATATGAGAGGATAGCCAAGGGGTGTCTTTATCCGTTTCGCGTACGAATTTTAGTTAAAAAACAGTGGTCACGAAGTTAAAAGGGAAAACGTAAAATCTCTCCTTTTGTGTATAATACTCCAGGGAAATCTCGAGGTTTCCACGAAGTGAAAGAGAAAAATCACGAGTCCCGTATATTTCAAAAGGCAAATCACACCTGAGACTGGTTCAATTCACGAATCACGTTCGCCTTTCTGTAAAATTAACACGTCACATGTTAATTTTGGCCTTAATCGCACGTCACCTGTGAATCCTTGCGAGCCATATAAAACTAGAACCAAAGTAATCACAACGGCCAATCACAATAAAGTTACACATCAGAAGGAACCAATGAGAATTCGGTGTAAACAGAACGCTGAAATCGCGGGAAAAGTGCGCATGACCAACTCACCTGGTTTTAATTTTGCACCTGATTGGTTGAGAGTGTGACCCCATGTCCTCTCTATCAACTTCACAGCACAGAAAATATAACCAATGCCATCCCAGTCTTATTTTTAACTGACAATTGAAAATGGCTTTTGAGTACTGTCCTTGATGGCTCGTGTTCACATCTTCCGTTAGTGAACCAATGAGCGGTCAGGGTTTGATTAGTCTGCCTTTAGGACCAAAACATCAGGAAAGCACTGTTTGCCTTATGCCTTTCTTTTCATCGTTTTTTTCGTTTTCCTATGTTTATTCTTTAGAGGGAGGAAAGGCGGAAATCGCACCACCAAACTCTCTTCTTGTTATGGTTAATTAAAATTGAAGATACTAGAGTCAAAATTATTTTTTGTTGTTTTCTTCAAAGGGTTCCTCTAGATGTGTGTCCCAACGTTTGTTAGAAAGGCAATTTCGAGGATTTCGTTGTGACGCCTCATTTTCATCTTTGTTTTTTTTCCCTAGACTTTGGAGATGATACAGCACACGACCCCACAAATCCGCTTAGTCCAGATCGTTACACAGGTCACCCAGGCATAGACCACGGGAATATACCACAGGCTACTCCTGCTGCGCAACACCCTGTGTACATTCCCATGGTTGACAGGAAGTGTGCCCCAGAATTTGTTCCTGAGGATAGATATTCAGAGGAAAGCGTTTTGAGTTTGGAGGAAGACTACATGAGTATGGACCATCAGAATCGTGTTCCTCGAGGCAGTGATGCCGGTGACTATGCCGCGCTAAAGGAGGACGCTGTTCCATGTACAACATATAAGGACAGAAGTGGTTCGACAGACGAACCCTCACTCGAGCATTCATCAAGTTCGAGTCAAAATACTGGTACACACACGCTCCAAATTCCTCTTCGTCTAAACCTTCAGACAATTAATTCCTTGGGAACCGGTAGAAGCTGCCCACCTGAAGGAATATTATCCTCGAGCCCTTTTGGAACATCACCGAGAAGGAGACCTGTCCCAACCCCGAGAACAAAGAAACCTCGACCAGCTTCCGATGGTGATGAAAATTTCTTAGATATTAAAGACAATTTGCCCAGAATTTCGAATTCAGAGAGTATTTCTACCTCAGCCAGACCGAATGGGACCCAGAAGTCCGTTTATAAAAAAGTACCTCCGCCAATGCCTATTCCATATCATTGCGCAAAACGCGCGCCAAAAACGACTGAAGATCGTAGCAATGAAGTGGGTCTCGACGAAATTGCTGAGCTGAGCCTGGAAGGAAGGCCAGATGAGAGAGATGATGACGAGAACGAGTTCCAGTTAGAAATGCAAGACCAGCCGTCGGAAGCAGACTTTAAGTCTGAGCAACCAGTGAAGAACAAACACTACATCATAGTCAAAACTCCTGTTCCCATTGGGGATTCTTTAACATTACCAAATTCACACGGTCAAGAATTGTCGAGCAGGTCCCAAGCTGCTCTTGGTGCAGCCCATAATGGCTATCCAATACAAGACCGCGTCTATGAGAACGCCAAAACGTTAAATCCATCACCAGGTAGCCAGAGAGATCTTTCACCCAATGGAGAGGATGAGTTTGAAGATACTCAACCAATTTACGACATACCACTCAATTTACCAATGCCACCAGAAATTCCTCCGGAAGTCTTAAACCAGCCCCCACCCTCCCGCGACAACCTCTTTGGTGGATCCTTGAGTAACCAACTTTCCGTCCTAGCTAGCTGGGAGAATGCGTCGGGTATGAATGATTGGCCCCTCGGCGTTGAACACGTGAATGCAGTGAACCAACTTCCAAATTCGGCCGCCCAATTTGTTGAACCACACGAACCATTCAATCCTGTTGGACCTGCCAACCCAAATGAACTTGTTGATCCGTTTACCCAACCTGATGATCAAGTTCAAACTTCCGAGGAAGGGACATACGGAGAGGAGATAGATGGAGGGATCCGCGAGATTCGCCGAATCTGTGGGGAAGAGTTGGCTCGAGACTGGTGCTATGCAGCTCTGTTACAGTATCAAGGTGATGTGGAACAGGTTGTTCGAATTGTCAAAATACAAAAACTGTCAAAAATCACCGGCAAATCTGAGGTGTTTTGTGAAAGAACTTTGACACACTGTTCTTGGGATTTAAATCGAGCAGCTGAATACATTTTTCAAAATTTTGAGGACGAAGAAGTATAAACCCTCTACTCAATTTTTGCCACCTGAGCTTAGTCGGTTGTCGCCGTTGATATTCAAATCAAATGTATACCTGTTAACTCTTTAGCTCCCACAAGCGATTAAGGTGTAATTTGTTCTTTCGATTCTACAGCAGTTTTCAAATGACTGTTCAAAAACCAAAACCAAAGATACCACAACACCCATTAATAGCAAAGGTTTGCGTCATCATTGGCCACTGAGGACCCAAACTAAAAACAGGCAAACTACCAAAAGCGCGGGAAAACGCGGACGACCAAGTCACGATTTGTTTTCGTTCGGCTTGTGATTGGTTCAGAGCATGGTACGAGTTTTATTGATCAATCACAGTCCGAATTAAAGCGAAACCAAAGCAATCCCGGATTACTTTCGACACTCAACGGAAAATTATGATAAGATGTTGTCTTAACAACAGATTATGAGAACAGATAAGCTTACCAGCTGGGGGTGTTATCTTGTTCCAAAACCAAATTTGTTAGTATTATTTACCATGAAATGTGTTGCAGTTAGTGGGGAGAATTATTTATTACATCTTGGGAGTAAATGGGTAAAAACGTTTATTTTGACTTTCCGCGCTTTGAATCAGTATTGGGCAACATTCAATCTTAGAATAGAATTACTGGGATCTAAACCTGAATCGAGTTGGATTTCTAGATATTTTCTCAGAAAAATGAAACGTAATTATATCAAGAGTAAGAGTCACCACCACGACTGAAATGCTGGTTGAAATCTTTGAAACTTTTTAAGCAAAAATTCTTAGAAGGGCGAGACTTCCTGAGATACTTGCGCGAGTGCAAAAAAGCCTTGTGTTTTACAAGAGTAAAGTGTATACAAAACCATTGAGGACAAAGGAAATTACCTCGGGTCCAGGCTATTGAGAGTCTAACTAAAGTGGATTCAACTTTACTTGATTCAACAGCGTGCGAGTGATTCAGATCGTCACGCGGGAGCGAGAAGTCCCGCTTGTCTACTTTCTCGCGTGCGAGTGTCTTGCTTTCGTACAAAATATTTTAATTGTGAAGGTTATCATTCTCACATGAAATTTGTTGCAAAAGAAACGAATTATTCCAACCTGTTTTTAATGGCATTAAATTGGAGAACTCTTTGAGATGCCTTTTTTTAAAAGTTTTTTTTTTTTGTTCGTAATCCCCAAGAGCTCTCGACCTCGTCCTTTCTTAATCCTTTACACCCTAACATCAATATGTATATTCTCCATAGTGTTCTCTATACATTTCCCAGGTGCGGACAAGGAGAATTTGAGAGCTTCTCTTGTTGGTAATCATTTCATTTATACCCGTGACTTCAATGTGTTATTCAGAAGTGATATTTTAAGGAAAGAGGGTTAATAAAATAAAACTTGATTTGTGAAATGTTATAGCAAGAAATATAGACATTGAAATCAAATGTTATAACGAGAAATACAGAAATACAAGCCTTGAAATGATTACGATTATACATAGGATAGTTTATTTGTGTTTTGAAGCTATAGATTATCAATTTTTACCTCAAATTAAGTGGCTTATTTAGTTCTATATTTTATTTATGGGCTGTCGAGTCACAGTAAAAATAATTTTCAGCTGATCACGTTATATATACCAAATGTAGTTATTAAATGTTGTGCAAATAATTCTCCTCCTGTTACCTTCCAGCGCACCAGACAATTAAAGTGAACTGAATTGACACCTTCCCTCGAACAACCGACCCTTCCCCGGCAAAAATGATAAATAAGCACTTGCTTCCCCTGTTTTCGTACCTGAGTAATCATGTTCCCCATACTAAGCACATATAATCAGTACTAGTTTATACATGCAGATATTCTCTCACGCGTACAACCCCTTCTCCCCCAACCCCTCAGCAAATCGGAGATGAGGTTTTCCTCGGTTACGATTACCGAGTTGTTTGCTTATACCCTTTTTTGCTGATCGCTTTGCGAAAAAAAATTACGGGATATGGACGATGCCTAAAGTAAGCAGATATTTATGGTTGTGTAGGAAGAAATTTCCCATATTAAGTTACACCGATTCCGACATCCATTGCGACATATAATTATTTCCTCTTTTTCTTGAGTTGATATGAACCCGAAACTGTGAAAGTCGACCGATACCAGAGTGGCCCATTTCACATGCAGGGCATCTGCCGATTATCACAAATCTAGCCAAAATGCACATGAATAACATCCTTCCTAGCATAACCCGGCTTGATCATCACTGCTTGTCATGGGGAGGAGATCATTACTGGTGAAGAGTAAAACTACTGAAAATTCACTCGTATCCTACCGTGAAAGGCTAATCCCGCGTCGCTAGATACCGAAACAAAAGTGCCCGAGAGAGGCGCTTTTGGAAGTAAAACAGAAAACCCGAAAAAAAGAAGTTTGAAAGCTTTTAGAGGGCTAAGCAAACGGCATTTAATATCCACTGCTAATGCCGTACCGAAATAACAGATGTTTAGCTACGCACGTGTCGAATTCCCGGTCAGTCGTTATATTCCTTGATTTGAATAAAAAATGGACTACGCCGTATAGCTCTCGAACTGCTTTTATGTTTGAAAACACCTTGGAACAGTTAAATAATTTAAATGTTGAATGTTGCACTGTAAATTAGCATGAAGTCTCTTCTGTTGCCCGAGTTGACGGTGTAGTCACGGAACGCCTCGCAAACATTCTTTGCGATGTAGATTAAAACGCGATATTTGTACAGGAGTTTGTCAATTAAAATCAGAAAAAATATATTTTATTTATTCCTCCGTCATACAATTCTTCTAGGGATTATTTAAGGCCTGATTGTTCGTTTCGTGACAAAGAATTAAGTACACATTGTTGTACAATTTAGCTCTACGCTTTTAACTCGGGTGATATCTCTTCAGTCGGGTAGTGATTCCAAAAATCTTAGTTGCCGCGAAAACCACTGTTTCCCAATAGAATGTTATGAAATGACACTGTAATTTTCCAGCTAGCGTACATTGCTGCTATGGCTAGGCATTTAAAGTTGTGAAATTCTCTTATCATTTGAAACAATACAAAGCATGTGATTGGTAGATGGTTAAAACCTTGGGTTTTCACTTTACTGCATTTGAAAATAACGCCAACACTGATTGGTCAAATGCACGTGAACCAGGCAAGCGAATTTCGAAAGATTTCACCTAATATGGCGGACGGGAAATCACATAGGATAAAGAGTTGGAGAACCAGTTGGAGAAGAACCAGTGTCGCTGGCATTTAACTCGTGAGTTGTCTGTAAAGAGTTGCTTTGTGTGGATAACTGCCTACAATCTTTTTGTACCCCAAGGTGAGGAGCATTTTAAAATTTTCCACGTCAAAACTGGTTAACCCCAGAGGCTGAACCCGGTCATACTCGTCAAACCAGTCTTGAAGCGAACGGTCTGCATAGGGAACGAGTTAAAATTTAAACTTACTTACGAGTTATCGCATCGGCTGGAAGTCGGTTGAGTTGAGATTGGAATTAAATTGAGTTTGCGTCATGTTTGTTAACTCTGGATGTATTCTAAAAATTCGAACGAGCATTGAAAATGGAAAATTACCGTCAAGATTGTGTAGGAAGACCGTTGCAGACCTGTGGTTCTCAATACTTCAGCGAAATGCAGTTACGTAAGGCCATCCGGCCCGCAGATGAAAACCTGAGAAAATCCGGGATGCGAATTTTTTTAAGCAGTTAGAGAAGAAAAACGCTATCTTTCCTTCAATGTATCCTGCGAATCGATCAAGGCCAGGTTAGCAGCTCATCTGGTGAAAGAAAACTTAATTGAGTAAACGTGATTGGACTTCGCCCAGTCTTGAATTTTAAAAATGCACTTAAAAAATCAACATGTTTTTTTTTTACTGACATTTACACGATCTTCTCCAAAATTAACCTACATTGAGCTTGTTTTGCACGAAATCGGAGTTGAGTTTTACACGAATTTGTTAAGCAATGCTAATAAACAATTCTATTAATTTTATTTGTTTGTAGGAAGAATTTCATCGCGGTAACTGAATATCCAAAGCTAAAGCTATATGTAAAGTGTCAGCACTTCACTAACAATGCCATCGAAGCTGTATTAATATTGAAAATTTAACGATATGGTCTATTTTCGTTTGGTTGCTTACTTGAGAGTAAGAATGATGCAATCCTTAAATTTAATTCGAAATTTACATTGATGATATGATAATATTTTATTGTTTTGATTGTTTTGGCTGCGTCAGTCTGTATCACTGTTCACTCAGTCTTGCTCTTGATACCTTTTTTGTATTTTAAAAACTACTGACACCTTTTGTCAAGAGGATTTTCAGTGGACAGGTACAACTGTTACAATGCTTAAGTCCTTGGAATTAGGATAATGCAGAAAATGATTTAAGATTAAATAAATTTCAAAAGACATTATGCAAAATTCTATTGTTTTGGAAATGTATTATCAATACTTAAATAGGATTAAATATAATCACTTTGCTCCAGCTCAAAGAGACCTACCTTTCAGCTTAGTATTGCACTAACCTAAAATAATTTTTTTTGCAGACATACTTGCATTCATAAACAATGGGATTCGGACGTCAAGACACAGCCCCTGCTATGGAACTGCTTCAATGTGTGAATAATGACCAGGGATCGAAAAGCAATACACCATCTGTTCCTTCATCACCCCTAACACTGATTGAAAAAATCAATCAGAAAATTGCAGCTAAAGAAAAATTCTTCAGCTTGGAATTTTTTCCTCCAAGAACTCCTAATGGAGCAGTGAACTTGATTGCCAAGTTTGACAGGATTTCTATGGGATGCCCATTATTTTGTGATGTGACATGGCATCCTGCTGGAGACCCTGGTGGGGATAAGGAAACAAGTTCCATGACAATAGCCAGTGCCGCTTTAAACTACTGTGGTCTTGAAACTATGTTGCACATTTCTTGTGCTAATACAGTGAAAGATACAGTGACTAAGCACTTGATGAAAGCTAAAGCATTGGGAATTAGGAACATTCTTGCTCTTCGAGGTGGTAAGTGCTTGTTATTATGCTGTAAAAAAATATATAATTCTACAACTGATGCATATCTTTTGGCCCTTTCACAACTATTTACATGTATTCCTCACAATTAGAGTTCTGATTGTTGAGTTGAGTTGAGGTGTTGGCATTTTAAAATGAGTCCACTAGCCATGGGAACACTGCTTGTTGGGCTGGCTGGCCCCATCTCACAATGTACAGAACAGCAGTTATAACAGCATAGAGCCCTATCAGTTGCTACAGTACATAAGTATTCTCTCAGGAAATTTTTATTTGTTAGTGAACTGTAAACTGTTTTTTGCCATTTCATATACAAAAGTGTGTATATACATGTGGATGTGGTGTTTATTATAATTTTGGAAAGCATTATCCCATTGATTTTCAATTTGGAAAACTCTCGCATTTTCAGATCCACCCAATGGGGAGGAGTGGCAAGCACTTGATGATGGTTTGGCTTACGGCACAGATATGGTTAAACACATCCGCCAAGAGTTTGGAGATACTTTCACCATTTGTGTGGCAGGTGAGTGAATAGATGAAACCTTGATTGTATGTTACACAGTTCAATAATTTGGTTCGTCATATCTTCTTTTGCTATCCTGGCTTTGTTCTCCGACCCTTTGTTTAATATGCCCTGTCTATTAATACAACAACAGCAAAAAAAAAAAGAATGACAATCTTTTTGAAGTAATGTTAATCCCTCCCACATACTTATCAATTTGAAATGTAACATCTTCTTCACAAGAATGGAGTATTTTCATAGCTCTGGAAGCAGTTGCATTTTGTTCAAATATCCTCCAAACCTACTATGAAGTTTTACCAGCCAAGCTCTCACATCTGTGAGGCTTTTCATTTGGAAGGATAGATAACCTTGTGTAAGGAAATGCTATATTAAATTTGCATTTTTGGACATGTTCCAATTGATTGTCTGATGTGCATTGATGTTTACTGAAGCTTTAGAAGAAAGCTTTTCTCTAAAATAAAGTTGTCATCTTGTTAGGCTACCCAAATGGTCACCCAGATTGCCCCACATATGAGGAAGATCTTCAACATTTGAAGGAGAAAGTAGATGCTGGATCAGATTTTATCATTACACAACTGTTCTTTGAGAACAAAACATTCTTCAAATTTGTTAAGGATTGCCGAGATATTGGTATAACTGTACCAATCATACCTGGCATTATGCCCATTCAGGTTAGTCATAATTGCCAATACAATACCCTTGTAAATTAGTTACAAAAATTAAATCAAGATAACAACTTCTACCTGATGAGTTTGTGTATTATCTTTACCTTTCATTGGGTAATGTTTGGATCTTATAGGGATAGGTTAAACACACAAATCATTTTTGGTAGAAGGGTGATGTTCAATGCTGTCTTGTTTCAATTTCTTGATTTCAACTTGACTCTATAGGGTTATGCTTCCTTGCGTCATCTCGTCAAGCTTTCAAGGTTAGAAGTTCCACAATGGATTGTGGATGCCATTGAACCTATCAAAGATGATGATGAGGCTATACGTAAATATGGGGTAGAGCTTGGAATCCAAATGGCACGTGAACTTTTAGAAAGCGATGACATTCCTGGATTACACTTTTACACCCTGAATCGAGAAGTTGCTACTCGTGAAATTTTGACAGCTTTGGGACTGTGGTGCCAGGATCCTGCCGCCAGCAGACCATTGCCTTGGAAGCCCTCTGCAAACAAGAAAAGGGTGTGTGAGGATGTGAGACCAATCTTCTGGGCTTCTCGACCAAAGAGTTATATGTATCGCACATCAGACTGGGATGAGTATCCTAATGGTAGATGGGGAAATTCATCATCGCCAGCCTTCGGTGACTTGAGTGATCATCACTTGTTTTATTTACGGAGCAAAATCAAGAAAGAGGACTTGTTGAAAATGTGGGGAGGAGAACTCGCTTCCGTAGAAGATGTATTTGAGGTTTTCAGGTGTTACATCTCTGGGGAAAACAATCGAAATGGTGTGCAGGTAATTGAAATAAAAAAAATCAAATCTGTGGGGAAGATCATGAGTGTGTGTGAATAATAGAAGAATATTAGTAACAGTTGGTTTTAATTAAGGTATTTCACTGATGAATTATAATCAGCATTCCAAGCTTTAACCATTATGGCCATCTTGTCTCCTACAAAAAACACCTTTTGAAAATGAATTTATTTGCAGTTTAGAAGTAACCAATATTTTTTTTTTTTAGTAGTAATGCACAAAGTGTCTCTTTCATATTTTTCTTTTCTTTTCTAAGGGTGACCCAATTTATTTTCTGACAACCATTTCATGATTTAAGGTCTCCTAATGGTGACTTTGAAAAGAATAGAATGCTGAATACTGATAATTTATTTAAATTTATGGAACATAAACAGTCAAAAACTGTGAAGGGACTTAAGATAGAATGATACAACCTGATAAATCTCAGTGGTAAGCATAGAATATCAAATCTATTTTTCAGGTGAAATCACTTCCCTGGAATGATGACACCATTGCTCCAGAAACAGCTTTGATCAGAGAGAAGCTTGAATTTCTCAACAGCCATGGATTTCTAACAATCAACAGTCAGCCTCATGTGAATGCCAAACCATCAAGCGACCCTCTGGTAGGCTGGGGGGGAAGTGGTGGATATATCTACCAGAAGGTAAGTAATATTACTAGACATTAGACTTACCATGAAAAATCTGATTGGTTGAGAGCATACAGTCTATATACAATAGCACGTGAAGTTGACATGATAATTCAAAGTCTGCTTAGTTCCTGAGCCCCTCATCTGTGTAGTGTTCTCAAACCCCTTTTCTGCAAACTCTGAGAGAGGTGTCTTCTTTTGTAGATTGTTTAAAGAATGTATAATAAAACACATATTGAGTTTGGTTTTTGCTTGATATCATGAATTATTAAACCTCTTGTATGTGTTCTCTGCCTCAGTCTTTGGCTTAAGCAGATAACTGGGACCTTAGCATTAATAATTCATGGTATCATGCCCTACCTCATCCATTACTTTCTTGTTATACAAAACAAGATTTTGCAGTTCAACTGGTGTTAACAACCATTACTATCAGAAAAATAAATGATTTCTATCTGGATTTTTTTATCTTTGCTTCCATTGCACCTAACATTGATTGACACAATTGATTTTGGTTTAAATTATTGTTTGTGTCTTTGGTTTGATGGGGAATTTTATGTGTAAGTGACCTTGGTAACAGGAGTGGCATCGTTAAAGCCTTTTTTAGTGCAGTGTTGAAAATTATGGATCTAAATATGCTGAGCCAGACTGCTAGTTTCACTTCTTTATGTATTTGTACATGTATGTGTATTACCATTCTTAATGAAGCCTTTTTACCATTTGTCTGGTATTATTTCAAAGTACAATCTACAAGCTTACATTTCAATATAAAGCTTGTAGAGCCAATGTTTATCTTCAAATTCAGTTGTAATCTGAGTTAGATGCATATTTGATTAACAACACTTTCAAATTGCAGGCCTACCTAGAGTTCTTCACTTGTAAAGAAAATGTAGACATCCTTCTTGAAGTTTTAAAAGACTACCCACAAGTGAATTATCATTTTGTGAACAGAGAGGTAAGCTGGGAGTACAGTTTAATTCCTTGTATCCATCTCATCTAGTGAATATCCCAATAATTTTTAACTTGAAGTGATAGAAGTTTATTTGAGAATGTAGGAAATGTGCCCCTTTGTTAGTGAAGAGAGGAAAGGCTAAGCACTCCATTTTTTTTAATGCTTTTTTTTTTTTTATCAGGGCTCAGTGAATGTAACCAATTCTGATGAGCTATCACCCATTGCTGTCACATGGGGTGTGTTTCCTGGAAAAGAGATTTATCAGCCGACAGTTGTGGATCCTATCAGTTTTGAGTCTTGGAAAGTAAGTCCATCCATCTTAATTTTATCATCTCATAAATGTACCATCAAATGACCACAGCTGTCTCGGAGATAGTTAGTAATTCCTGAAACAGAATAGGAAACCCAATGGTCAGAGACTGAAAGCCTTTGGTGACAGTCTAACTGATCTCTTGAGCCAGGAAAGAATCTTTGCAAGTAGCCTGCAATTTTAGCAGTTGCTGAAAAGAAGCCTGACAAGATTTTGGCTTCAACTGGATTCAAACCCATGCCTCCTAGATACTAGCTGGGTTCTACTACCAATAGAGCTAGGAAGCCGCATGTTAGGAGCAGGACAAAATTTTAAAGGGTTCTTCTTTCCTGTAGAGGAACTTGATAACAACTTATAATGAAATTAACTTTTCTTTATTTCAATTGCTTGACTGACTTATGTCTTTAATTGTATCAAAGTAAGTATCTGATCAACTGCACACCTACCCCTTCCCTAACCTAACAATAACCCTAACGTATTACAGTGTTCTCCCTTATTTTAAGCATGACAGGTAAAATAAATTTTCAAACCGGTAAAGCAATCCTTTTACCTGTTGAAATTTTCCAGAATTCCAGTCAATTTTAAACAGTAATAAGAGGTACTACAGGTGGTAAATGTTACCAGTTACTACCTGAGAAGGAGAACACTGTTGTTGAGTTAGGGGAAGGGTAGGTGCACTATTTCTCAGATAATGAAGTTGATCCATTTAGTCTATCAAGGGTTTAGACTTAAATCATAATTGTTTGTTTAGATTTTAAGTTTTAAGAAAGTCCTTTTGCTTATCTCCTCTATTTAGGATGAAGCATTTGATCTTTGGGATCAACGGTGGGGTCGACTCTACAAAGAAGACTCGCAATCGAGAAGAGTCATTGATGACATCTATAACAACTATTACCTTGTCAATTTAGTTGACAATGACTTTATCAAAGGGAACTGCCTTTGGGAAACACTTGAGAAAACAGTGGAACTGAGAGAAGGAACATCTCAACGAATGGCTGCTGAAGCATCATAATATATGATTATTGCATGATTATAGTAATCTGAATTGCTGTGAATATGGGAGAGCCAACCATTTAAGGTGATATTTTAGACTTCTCCAGTCCCTTTATTGTTTAAGAGGCCTATGGAGAATAGTGAAAAATATGCAAAGTTCAGGAGAAGGTTGAGAAATTTTTTACAAGAAAGCATTCAAAACTCTGGGATAGGATGGACAAAAGTTTAAATCTAAACAGGATCATAATCCCTCAAGGGGATCTAAAATACCTAACTTATTTTACTCAAATCCTGATTAAGCAAGAATTATGAGTAAATGGGAAATGTTCATTTGCGGCAAGAATTTTCAGTTTGGCCATGTAGTTTTTAATGATCTTTACAAAGAGGCTTGATTATTTGAATAGACTTGACCAAACTGAAAAGATCATCCAGGCCAGTTATTTTCCAGACACACAAGATCAATTGTAAAAAGATGATGCACCACAATCAATTTTTATGAAATTCTTGGGTTGATGCAAAATCTCTCTTTCACTGTACCTCAGTTTCAAATGTACCAACAATGATTTAACTCCACCCATGAATTCAAGCTGGACTTGCAACATTCTGAATTTTATTTGCAACATTCTAGCAGAGATCAGCTTGTTTCATGGGTTAAGAAGAATTCCTTACTTACTGGATAACATATATTATTTATATTTATTTCATTTAATGCTCTGACAGATCAATCAGAGTACACAGATACTGTATGCAGTACATTGTTGTGCTGTTTTAATGGAAACCATCAAAGTAACTTTAAATTACCCCTTTTCCCAATACATCCAGTTTAGAATCCAGACTTATGTTGTTAGAAAGTTCTGTGAATTTGGTTTGCTTACAAACCTTAACCAGGTTATCATTGATTTAGTCAGAGTTAGAAACTTTACACAGTAGACATACATTGAATTTAAAAAAAAAATGCTAGTATGAGAGAATTGAAAGGATATTAGGAATTTTATACAAGTCATAAATAAATCACACTTTGAATAACTGCTCTGTTTAACTGTTTGGTATCCTTAATAACCCTTTAACCCCTAAGAGTGATCAGTAACTATTTTCTCCTATCATATCACCCCTAAAACAAACATCGAGGTCATGAGAATAAAGGAACTGATCACCAACTAAAGAAGCTTTGATTGTTAAACAAATTCTCTTTGTCGTCACCATAGGAAATGCATAGAAAACAGTACGGAGAAATTGTATACTGATGTTAGGGTGTAAAGGGTTAAGTGTTAATTCTCGTCTCAGTGGTCACCCCTTCGATCCAGCCGAAGTTTAAGATTTCGTTGTTACACTTGTTGCAGAATACAAATGTTAATCGTTAGCTCGTTAGATTTAGATTCCTCACCTCGGGCTTTGAACAAGGTAAACGCTGAGGTGAGGCGCAAGCCTAATAAGGTGCGCCAAAACTATAATTTTTTCGTGTTCCTTTTTCTCTCAGCTTGCGAATACAGCCGCTGACCGACATTATCCCGCTTCCCACTTTTCCTTAACACTTGGGTATTCTGTCAGTATTTTTCCTGTTTTTGCTGAGAATTTTCTCATGGTTGCAATTCGTCTGATAATAAATCACAATTCAAAGATGTTGCAATAACGTGATGGAAAACCATCATGTTGTTGTTTTTCGTTCTTTTTCCATTTTTTTTTTTTTTCACTGTTTCATTTTGTTTTGTTTTGTCTTGTTTTGTTTTTTCAAACCTACTGGAAGCTCACTTCGCTAGGTCGAGCTATGGGGGCGTACACGCACTGTAAAGGTTTTCTTTTGTTTGATTGTTACGTTAGTATCTCGCGCACCTTAAAGATTCCTTTTAGTTAGATTGTTACGTCAGCTGATCTCGCGCACTGTAAAGATTCTCTTTACTCGGATTGTAACGTAAGTATCTCGCGCACTGTAAAGATTCTCTTCTGTTGGATCGTTACGTTAGTATCTCGCGCATTGTAAAGATTCTCTTCTGTTGGGTTATGTTAGTATCTCGTGCACTGAAAAGATTCTCTTCTGCTGGATTGTTACGTCAGTACCTCGCGCATTGTAAAAATTCTCTCCTGTTGGATTGCTACATTAGTATCTCGAGCACTGTAAAGATTCCCTTTAGTTGGATTGTTTTGTTAGTATCTCGCGCGTTGTAAAGATTCCCTTTCTGTTGGATTGCTACGTTAGTATCTTGCGCATTGAAAAGATTCTCTTCAATTGGATTGTTACGTTAGTATCTCGCGCATTGAAAAGACTCTTCTGCTGGATTGTTACGTTAGTATCTTGCGCATTGAAAAGACTCTCTTCTGCTGGATTGTTACGTTAGTATCTTGCGCATTGAAAAGACTCTCTTCTGTTGGATTGTTACGTTAGAATCTTGCGCATTAAAAAAACTCCCTTCTGTTGGATTGTTACGTCAGTATCTCGCGCTCTATAAAGATTCCCTTTTGCTGGATTGTACGTTATTATCTCGCGCACTGTAAGATTCCCCTTTCTTGGATTGCTACGTTAGCATCTTGCGCATTGATAAGACTTTTGTTGGATTGATACGTTAGTATCTCGCACACTGGAAGATTCCCCTTTCTCGGATTGTTACGTTAGTATCTTGCGCATTGAAAAGACTCTTCTGTTGGATTGTTACGTTAGTATCTCGCGCACTGTAAGATTCCCCTTTCTTGGATTGTTACGTTAGTATCTTGTACATTGAAAAGACTATTCTGTTGGATTGTTACTTTAGTATCTCGCGCGTTGTAAAGATTCTCTTCTGTTGGATTGCTACGTTAGTATCTTGCGCATTGAAAAAACTCTTCTGTTGGAGTGTTACGTTAATATCTCGCGCGTTGTAAAAATTATCTTCTGTTGGATTGTTACGTTAGTATCTTGCGCATTGAAAAGACTCTTCTCTTGGATTGTTACGTTAGTATCTCGCGCACTGTAAGATTCCCCTTTCTTGGATTGTTACGTTAGTATCTTGCGCATTGAAAGGACTCTTCTGTTGGATTGTTACGTTAGTATCTCGCGCGTTGTAAAGATTCTCTTCTGTTGGATTGTTACGTTAGTATCTTGCGCGTTGTAAAGATTCTCTTCTGTTGGATTGTTACGTAAGTATCTCGCGCGTTGTAAAGATTCTCTTCTGTTGGATTGTTACGTTAGTATCTTGCCCGTTGTAAAGATCATCTTCTGTTGGATTGTTACGTAAGTATCTCCTGCATTGTAAAGATTCCCTTTTGTTGGATTGTTACGTTAGTATCTCGCGCATTGAAAAGACTCTTCTGTTGGATTTTTTCGTTAGTATCTCGCGCACTGTAAGATTCCCCTTTCTTGGATTGTTACGTTAGTATCTTGCGCATTGAAAAGACTCTTCTGTTGGATTGTTACGTTAGTACCTCGCGCAATGTAAGATTCCCCTTTCTTGGATTGTTACGTTAGTATCTTGCGCATTGAAAAGACTCTTATGTTGGATTGTTACGTAAGTATCTCGCGCGTTGCACAGATTATCTTCTGTTGGATTGTTACGTTAGTATCTTGCCCGTTGTAAAGATTATCTTCTGTTGGATTGTTACGTAAGTATCTCCTGCATTGTAAAGATTCTCTTTTGTTGGATTGTTACGTTAGTATCTCACGCATTGAAAAGATTCTCTTCTGTTGGGTTGTTACGTTAGTATCTCGCGCACTGTAAGATTCCCCTTTCTTGGATTGTTACGTTAGTATCTTGCGCATTGAAAAGATTCTTCTGTTGGATTGTTACGTTAGTATCTCGCGCACTGTAAGATTCCCTTTTCTTGGATTGTTAGGTTAGTATCTTGTTCATTGAAAAGACTCTTCTGTTGGATTGTTACTTTAGTATCTCGCGCGTTGTAAAGATTATCTTCTGTTGGATTGTTACGTTAGTATCTTGCGCATTGAAAAGACTCTTCTGTTGGATTGTCACGTTAGTATCTCGCGCGTTGTAAAGATTATCTTCTGTTGGATTGTTACGTTAGTATCTTGCGCATTGAAAAGACTCTTCTGTTGGATTGTTACTTTAGTATCTCGCGCGTTGTAAAGATTATCTTCTGTTGGATTGTTACGTTAGTATCTTGCGCATTGAAAAGACTCTTCTGTTGGATTGTCACGTTAGTATCTCGCGCGTTGTAAAGATTATCTTCTGTTGGATTATTACGTTAGTATCTTGCGCATTGAAAAGACTCTTCTGTTGGATTGTTACGTTAGTATCTTGCGCATTGAAAAGACTCTTCTGTTGGATTGTTACGTTAGTATCTTGCGCGTTGTAAAGATTATTTTCTGTTGAATTGTTACGTTAGTATCTCGCGCGTTGTATAGATTATCTTCTGTTGGATTGTTACGTTAGTATGTCGCGCATTGTAAAGATTCTCTTCTATTGGGTTATGTTAGTATCTCGCGCACTGTAAAGATTCTCTTCTGTTGGATTGTTACGTTAGTATCTCGCGCATTGTAAAGATTCTCTTCTGTTAAGTTTTGTTTTTTTTTTGTTTGTTTTTGTTTTGTTTTTTTTAATCTAGGGTATACTCGGGAGCTGATAACTGGATTGGTCTCAAAGAGACTTCTTCTGTTGACATGGAAGTTACTTAGATACCTTCTTTGAACATCAGAAATTGAATTGGTACGTTTTGTAGTTTAACTACAAAACTTCGCTAAAGGTATTTGAAATTCGTTGGCACGTACTTCAAAGAAAATAGACAAGTATATCACTCCGAACAAAGGAAAGCGCTCAATTTCAGAATAATTGGTGCATCAAAATTTCCCAGTATCGCATGTTTGTAAAAAGGCAGATAAAATGTGAGAACGCCTCACGCTCGTTCATAAATTCACGAATCACGCTCGCCTTTCTTTGAAATTCACGCGTCACGTTTATATCAATTTTAGCCTTGATCATGTGTCACTTGTAAACCCTCCTCCGCTTTCCTAGAGCTTGAAGCATTTACTATCCGTTGTTGGGTAAAATAGTTTACACAATCAGCCACTAGGACTGCATAAATTATCAATTAGGGTAATGGAATACGATTGATGTTCATCTTAGAACGAATGACAGATTTCACAACAGGGTTCATCAATATCAACTGATGTCAACAGATGTAGTTGTACGCGTACAACTCGCCAGATTTAGAATTATAAAATGAGAATGAAACTTAAGTAGTTAACTTAACGATCGCACTTTGGAGCACTGGAAACTGAAAATAATGGTCTTGTAAAACTGTAGCAGAATCCTAAATTTTGGATACCGAAATAAGAAAGAACGATAACCCCTTAACCCTTACCCCTCCCCTACCCTTCCCCACCCTCTCCCCCGGAGTAGTCTGCTAGGCAAGTGCAAACCTTTTCAAATATAAAAAAATAGATAAATCTCTCTTCAAACAATTACTCTTCCTCCCTTCCCTTTTAAATGCGATTCTACCAAAGAATCATTGGGGCAAATATGAAACTCTCGGAAATTTTTGTGATTTATTTATGCAGGGAGCAAAGGGCGAGATAAAAATTGTCGCAAAAATTAATTATTCATTCATGTTTGCCTCGCACCTTGAGTCAGTGTGACATGTGGTTCAAATTCTGTTCATGGAGTCACCGTGTTTTGCTTCTTCGAACAGAAACTTGACGTATTTTGCCGGTTTCTGCAGTCGTAACTTCTTCTAAAAGTATTTTTAAGACGACTTCTTCCTTATCCCAGATTCAGCAGCCCAAATATGGAGTTATTGGTGTGCTTTGGCAGAATA